TAGATGTCACCTCCTGGCAGTCCCGGAGGGGATGGGTTCAGGCCATCACAAGGAGGCTTAGTACTAAAGAAAAAAGAAGGAAAAACAAAAAACAAAAAACTCGAGGAGCCGGCGAGCGTTAACAGAGACTGGGCCAGAGAGCTGGGCTCCGACAGCCTCTTTCTTCCGAGACCCACTCTGGGCTTCATGACTGAGTCTCGCTGACGCCCCACAATCGAGCATCAGTTGGATGGACATTAGGAACAGGCCTTCGCAGGGAAGGAAGGACGCGGTGGGCTGTGACGTGTTGGAGGAAGCCGTGGGCTCCCAAGCTTCACAAAGGGACAGGTGGACGAGAGGAGGCGTGTATCTCGTTCAGCTGACGCCATGTGCTTGGGCAGACCGCAGGGACGTTTTTAAAGGTGTGGGACTCACTCTTAGGGACACTGAGGACACGCACATGCTGCGTAAACCCACAGGCACCAACCCCCCCCCCCCCCCGCCCCAGAACCTGGAGACACATTCGCGAAGAAGGTTTAAATCAGACAAGCCACCACACGCGATGTAGAAATGCGCCAGCTTCCACAATTCTTTATTAAATATTTGACAAGTCGCATCACTTCTTTACAATGACTTCATTCTTTCACGTGACTCTTTTGCTGTCAGGAAAACAAACTACAATTTCTCCTTAGCTCTCTCCGGAAAAATGAAAAGCCACAAGGATTTTGTTCTTAAACGAAACTGTTCCTGTGTGTATCAAATTCCACCGTATTTTAAAGTTACTCTGTTTGAGAAAATGAGCATTGTCCATAGGTGAATCTTTAAAAAAATTCAAAGTAGTTTGGTTTTTAACCACTGTATCAAATAGTACTTGGCTTTGTATTAGGAGGTGGGTTTATAAGAAAAAGTTATGAAACATTGAGAATTCATTTGGAATGCTTGAAACTCTTTTCACCTTAAAGTCACTGTGTTTTTCCATGTTTTACTTGATCAACGATCCTGAATTAAGAAATGACAGCGTATTAACACCATCTTCCGGGGGTTCCCTCGGGCTCCGAGGGTCAGGATTCTCAGGGTACGGCTCGGAGAAAACTGTGGAAGGGGCGACGCTCTCACTCCCTTTCGAAACCAGATTGCTCGAGAAAGGTGTAAAAATGCTATACAAATATATACATATATATTTGGACAGCATGTGTACGTATATATGTTTTTTACATACATAGTAGTAGAGAAAGAATAAGGTTATTATGCTAGTTTTTACACGAAGGAACCCATGACAATCTGGGCGAAATCAGTCTCAGTAGGAGCTGCCGACCGGCTTCTACAGGAACACAGGTATCTGCGGACACAGGGTCACGGTCACGCGAAAGGCGTTCGATGCATCGATACAAAGTGGAGAGTGCAGTGCACAGAGGGCTGCGGCCAATGTCATTAGATTCCTATCGTTACTCCTTGCACACAGACGAACCAACGGAAAGACAAGCGCTTTAAACATGCATTGCTTTGGGCGTAACACCTTTAACGAAGGAGCGAAGTCTAACAAGAGGGTGCCCTGCAAACGACCACACAAACAGAAAGCTCTCCTTCTCCAGAAGACAGTGCACAAGCTCACGTCCTAATGCTACGGCATTTTCTCTGACACACCGGAAACACTCTGGTGTGCACGCGCACACCTGTGTGTATGCAAGTGTGTGTGTACACAGTTCATTAAGGCTTAGATAAATTAAAAAACAAGTGGTCCAAAGTATATCACATTTCTCCCCAGTTTTAAAATCTAAAGTACAAAGTGGAGTTTATAAGGATTTTTAAAAACACATCTCAGACCTGAAATTGGCAGTTTTGACTTATCAGGAAGTACCCCAAAGCCTGAATGAGACAGAGGTAGTGATCTCCTGGGGGTCAGGCAGGGAGTAGACCAGGCAGTTACCCTTGCACAGCAGCACCCCCTACTGGCAAGGCAGAAAACGACACTGGACAGCACGTCCCCTCCACTCCCTGTGAGTACAGGGGTGGCAGGCTCAGAGCGAGGAGGAAACAGGCAAAGCAAGCACAGCGAGCACAGTAGGTAGGAGATCGAGAATTGATTAATCCAGACTTTTTCACAGAGTTTAAAATTTCAGAGGTGAGAGACAAAACTTAGGAAAGTACTAGTCGAGTGTTTTTCAGTTAGGAACTGTTAGAACAACCAGTAATTTGCTGTGTATGAACTTGGCTTTCAAGGGAGCCAATCTGGATCTGGCACGAGCAAACAGCAACGGTACATGTCTATTTTAACCATGTGAGAAATACAAAGTGTTTCCAATGTTTTGCAAACCGTTTCTCGGAATCTGTCCGTTCCCTCATGAGGAGGAGTAACCCAGTCCAGCACTGGCCCCCGACCTCAGGCCGTACCTAATGTCAGCTGCCAAAGTGCCCTGGGAACAGCAATCAAAGAACCATCTTACACTCTGATTGGGTAGAGGCCTGGCTCCAGAGAGGTCAATAAGCGGAAATGTTTTGGGAGAAAGAGACCAGGGCACTGAAGCTGAGTGTAACTTCCCAGCAGACAGATGGCCCTGTTTCCTGTTCCCGCGGCAGCAGGCGGCACGGCAGCGCCCCATCGGGAGCTGGTCCCCCCGGCAGACTGTCCAACGTGCTCTGCAGGCCACGAGAGGCAGGGAGAGAAACATCCAGGGCCGACGCAGACGGTGGGGAGGGTCGAAGACTTTCAACATGCAGGATGTAAATTAAACTCCGGAACCCACTTCCCGGCCTCATGGAAAACTTGCCCGTAACTAGACCTTCTTCTAGGCGCTCAGAACACCAAAACCAAACCTGGATGAAAGTGATTTCTAAGGAAACGAAGGCAGTAGAGACCCTGGACTTCAGAGTGGCATCACTGCTGAGGACGACTAGAATGGGCGGGGCGGGCTGCCTTGGACACCGGGCCTGCTGACCAGCGCAGGAGGGGAGCCCAGGAAAGACCCATCATTCCACCGTTCAACGGCACATTTTCTTTACTGCCATCTGTCGCTGTGTCTTGAAATGATGGAGAGTGGGCATCAAGATGAAGAGGAAACAAGATCTGTGACTATTTCAACAATGAGGGAAACATTGAGAATCGCTGATAACAAGGGACCCTCATTCGGGTTGAAAGCAAACAAAAGGGAACCCCAAACCCAGCACTCACTATGTGGCGGTTACTGAGACCAGGTATTAGGGAGCAGGAGGACCGAGCTGTTGTTTGCAATCACCGCCTTTCAAGTGTCCCCAGGGGTGACGTGTCGGTAATTCTCTTCCTGGCGTAGAAACGATCTGAGAATGATTTTTCCTTTCATAGTCTCAATACTTTGTCAGGTTTGCATTTAACGACTATTCTGACTTGGAATACACAGTTTAAAAATGACAGAAGAGCCCCAGTCCTTACAGTAGAATCGCTGGACTTCCCCTACAGTCTCACGAGATCCATCTCAGAACCCACGCGGCGGGCTGCCCCCGGGCGTTACAGAGAAAGTTGACTCTCGACTAGGAGGGGCCGCAGAGGCGTTTTTTTTTGTTTGTTTGTTTGTTTGTTTTTTGCCAGTGAAACATTTGTTATATTGGCCGGAGGAAAAACATTCCCACCAACAGATAAAAACGATGAGTGACTTTTTTTCTAACTTCTCAGCATCTGTGCCTTCTGGTCACTATTTGGTATTTTAAAATCGACATGCAAAGGGAGCCCGCCCGCAGCTCAGCAGAAAGCCACTTTGCTCTACACACTGCAGACCTCAGATAACTCGTTTACAGCTACGAACGCTCCCAGCTTCTCCCCAGCCACCAAAACGGAATTCCTTCCACCAAAAGGTCCTTCTCCCATAACACGTGGAGGCCCTAAAACCACCGTTTTTTTGTCCTATTCCTGACTGGCAAGAGCTCAAATCTCTAGTGTCCCCTGACTGCCAGGACAGGGTCTGGGACAACACAGGTGAAAAAGGGCAGCAGGGCTGAACCTGATCTCTCACAACACACAGAATTCTGCAGGAAACCAAGCTGTGCGGCCGAACTCCCCTGCCCCTGCCCCCTGCCCCGAGGAACAGCCTGAGCGCAGAGGCTCAGACCAAGTCTCCCCGCTAGGTTTCCGCTAGCACAGGGCAGACAGGATGGGGCAGCACGCGGCGCGGAAGGAAGCAGGCAACTCGTCCCAGGGAGCAGGGCGGACAGGACAGATCAAGTGCACCTCAAATGCATCTTCGAGCAGAAATCTCGAAACGGTCTGTGAGGACAGGTCCGTTGGCTGAGCTTTCAGCCAGCGTACACCAGCAGCCAGATGTTGCCCCGGAAAGACGTGTGCGGGGGTGGGGGTGGGGGGGAATAATTGTCACATTCACTGTCCAGGATAAGAGAAAACACAAGCCGAACCAGGCGTGACCTCCAGGTCGTACATAAAGAGCCCCGGGAACTGGTGCGGTTGAACATACACGGGTTACTGAGCTACCATCAGCGAAGGCGTACAAACAGGAGACTAGACAGATCTGGTTTCCACAGTTTCAAATCAAGCAGTGCCGAGTTCCATTCAAATAAAGGTCTCTACTACAAACAGCAAAGAGGAAAATATAGTAAATGAAGGGCTGTACAGCATCGGGGAGGGTTAAGAAATCTCTCTGATGAGAAATGATCGCCCGGCCCTGTCTCACATGCACGGGAGCACACGTAAGGACTTCCAAGGAATAACAGCGTGGTTCCTTCACATCACCATGAAATTGTCAGGCTACAGTACAATTCTCCCAGCCTACAGCTATGATGCTAAATCTGTACAAAAAGAAAACCACACCCTAATATCCAGTTTGTTTTCATTCTGAGTATGGAAAAAAATGATCATTATCCCTAATGTTATATTTTAAACGCGCTCAAAGTCTGTAAGAAGGGGTTTGGACAAAAATCAGTCTTCCAAGTCTGATAAAGTTGAGGGGTAGGGGATGTCAAAGTCCTTCAAAAATAAAAATGTCACGGACATGAAACCTGGTATGAAATTCAAATACAAAAAAAAAAAAAAAGCTCACTTTTCCAAGTACAGGACACATCTTTAATTGCAGTGAAATGAAATCGGAAAATCGGTCTAAATCATTTCCAAAAAGTAAACATGAGTTGTAATACTATACCTGCCGAGTGACTGATTCCGTTCATGGTCATTATAAAGTATGTAAAATGTTTATTAAGGGCTCCGCCTACAGAGGCACAACATAAATAGAGTTAAGTCCTCCTGAAATGTAATTAGTGTACACGTCAACAGGTTGATAATTGGCGGTGGAAAATGCAGAAACGGGACGTGGGCCTGGGTTCCCACGTCCGGGCGTGGGCACGTCGCGGGCGAAGGCTCTGCTCCGGGAGGGAGCCCGCTGCGCAACACTCTCGACCGTCGTCGTCGTCGTCGTCGTCGTCGTCTCTGCAAAGCCTGGGCGGGAGATGTGAAGGTGCAAGCGGGGCTTGCTCCACGGACCACCACCCGGGGCGGGGGGGGGGGCGCTTAATCCACCCCCTCGAATCCTTGCGCGTTTTCCACGGCCATGAGAAGTTTCTCTCGTAAATCTTCGAAGGTTTCGTATGGAGGTAAGTCAAGGCGATTGAAGCTGCAATGGCAACAGAGGCGTAGGTCAAAAGCCGTGTTCGTCACCCGTTTGTTAGAACAGCATTTCTCAAGGGTCCGTGACCACTCTCCCCCTCTAATCTGACCCTGTAATTGCTGGGACGATATGAGTTAATACACATAAACACACACAGGACGGTGCTGGGAACACACCTAAGGAGGGTTCGCTATCACCAGCTCTGAGGCCGGGGGCAGGGAGCAGGGGTCAGCCTCTGGCCTGCCCCTAACTAACTGTGTGACTTTATTGTCTTCAGTGGGCTTCCACGTCTTCCTGCGAAGATGGGTGGGCCGAATGAAATTACTGTGAGAGTCGACAACCCAGAGCCGGTAGGTCTGCGGTTCTCAGTCAAGTGTAATTTTAATATCTAATCAGTGACCTCTGACGGGACAATGAAATGAAGCTCTTTACAAATCGGACACGCGATGAGTGCATCTGAGAGATTTACGGAAGGTGCCAGAGAGAACCAGACCTCCCAGCCCCTGCTCTCCCGGAGACTCAGGGTTGCATTCCGAAGCGTAACTAACTGTGTGTGTTTCAGACTCTCACGGAACAGGGCAGACAGTGACATCCACAGGGTCGTGGACGTGCCGGGCTCGTCCTTGTGCCGCATGTACCTCACTCTGCAGAGAAACCAGAGACGCGCCTCCGTGCCCTGCATCCCGGAGGCCGCTGCCCGCCACCCTGAGTCCCTGGGCTGCGCGGGCCTGGGTCCAGCCACCTGCCCTTCCCTGGCCGCCATCAGACGGGTGCTGAGTTCCAGGGACTCATGGGTTACTGCTGGCCTTGGAAGCCCTTTTCAAAACCATGCTGCTTCCACAGGGAATTTCATCCCGAGTTCTAAAATGCTGATTTCAAGGTGGAGTAAAAACCCAATCTGTTTGCAGTGTGGGAGCTGTCATGCCCACGAGTGGTGGCTATCAGTAATAAAATCTCTGCTTCCTGGAGTAATCAGGGAAGAATGGGGTTTGGGGGAGGAATCCCCCACGGCACTCGGGGCTTCACCCTGGATGCGCCAGCCGCACCACACCCGTTCGGAGCGTGGCCGGAGTGTGGTGAGCATCGCCGCACACTTGACGCTTCCCTCTGCCGCACAGGCACTCCCGCCTCTGCGCCGTTTGCGGCAGGAACACGGCATCACTCCGAAGCCTCCCGCCCAGGGGCACTCGCGGCGAGGTGTGTAAGCTACGGCTTGTGGACAGGGGTGCGCCACTCACCACGTGTGAGCTCTGGGCAGTTTGTCGGGGCTCCCCCATTGCTCTATTGTAAACAGCTGAGGACCGTTGGAACCTAGACAAAGAGAAGACACGTGAGTGCTCCCGGCGCGCGGGGTAAGTGCGTGACCTGAGACACCGTCTAGGGCTGCAGCGCCGTGTCTGCCGTTTCCCGGGGGAAACGAGAGGTCTGTGCAGCCTCACGACACACAGGCCACGTCACCTTGGGGACGGAACCGGGCCGAGTGTGACAGACCCCACAGCACATGCGAGTGCAGGCTGCTGCAGCCTTTCCTTGGAGCCTGGGGGCGTTTAAACCGAAAACTGCCTTGGGGGGTGGGGCAGGGATTAAACGTGACCTTTAAGATGAAGAGTAGAGTGATTTAAAAACAAAAAACAAAACATCTACAGTAAGCATTGAAGAGCTCTGCTTCCTGGAGGTGAGGAGTCCTTGAAACCAGGAGTTTATAACCACATGGATGATTCTGCAAAATCTACTTCTTCAAGGTAGACCAATAAAACAAAACAAAACAAAACAAACAAAAAAAGAGAGTGGGAGGGAGGAAGAGACCGCATCCTGCTCACCATACAGTTCAGCAAATCCATTCATAGGCACCCGGGACGTCCCCGTGACGAACTGCAGTAACCGGATGCGCTTCTCGGCGTCCATCAGCAGCACGGCCTGGAAACAGAGGCAGAGTCATCCGTCGGCCCCCACGGGCCACCCGGCACGCGCTGATGGAATGCCAGTGGGTGGAGCGGACCGTGTTTACGCGTAAAACTAGACAGCTGACTCTGAAAATGGTCCTTTCTTAACTTTAAATTTTTAGCAGCCGCCACAATACTGGCCTCTGTCTTAGAGAGCGAGGGATCACGGTGTCTCTTTGTTCTTCTGCAACGAGTCAAGATACATGGTACAAAAAGCAACCTCTTTGATGGCACCAGGCTCAGGGGTCTGGGTGCGAGACCGCCGGTGCCCCCAAGAGCCGAGGAGAGACCCACAGGGTGCAGGAAGTGTCCAGCCCAGGGAGAACCCGGGTCAGGAGGTGGGGTTCAGACTGTAGACAGGCTCTCAAAAAACAACACTTCATAAAAAGAAACAGAGGCAAGGATAGGCTTCTAAAACAATCCGTGTAGCCTACATATCTGAGTTATTGCAGGAGTTGAGTTGGCTTTACTGATAATGTTACCTGAACTGGTGTAAAAAAAAAATCCAAATCAAAACCAAGCAAGGCTTGGACTAGGATTCGAAGATGCTACTCTTTGCTTTTTAGGTCTATTTCTGCTGGCACTCGAAATATTATTAAAAATAGATGTTAGAAATTAAAACAAGGGGTATGATTTCTTATCTTTGTAAAGCAAACAATCAGCTTTTCCCCCCTGTAATTGTCCTTTTAAAGTCAGTTTCCTGCCTCTCCCTTGGACCCGTTCGCCCTCACTCCCCGTCTCTCCTAGGCTAAACTGAACGCAAACACGGATTCTCAGTAGTAAATCAAATTTCACCGTAGGCAGCTTTCACTGAAAGATAAAAGACCCAAATGTGTGTTGGAATTCACAACAACAACAAAACCGGGAAAACGATTTTTTTCACTGAAAATGGCATCTCGGAAAAGTCAGGCCCCAAGCACAGTTTTGCCCTGAGAAGCCCCCCAATTCTCATTTACACTTTGGGGGGTGCGTTCCCATTCCTGAATCCAGGTACCACCCCTTTCCGAATCACCCTACTCAGCAGGTTCCTCAGACAGGAGCCAGTTGAACCCGGAGGTTAAGGAAGGACAGCCGCCCGTGGAGGTGCGGCCTTCCGCTCAAGCTGCCTCTTCTCTCGGCCAGCCGCCCGGTCCGTGCTCACAGAGCCCCAGCTCCCTGCAGCCGGACTACAGCCAGACCGTGGGGAGGGCAGCAGAGCCCTCAGGCCCGACCCAGGGAGAGGCGCAGGGGGTGGGCCTGGAGGCCCGGACGCACCTTCCAGAACCACTGGATGACAGGATGGTTTGGGCAGTAGCCGTTCTTGTAGATGGTGTGCTGTCTCCAGTCGTTCACGTCCACGTCGCCGAGGCCGCACATCAGCAACTGGGAAGGAGAGAGACCGCTGTGAACGCCGCAGGAACCACACCTCAAACACGGCCTTTCTCGGGGCCGGCAGGCTTACCTGCGCACAGCAGTAACCTGGCAACTAACTCATCAAAACAAACTCGGGGAACGCGTTCCAAATGTCCCCTGCCACTGCAGACCGCAGGGACAGTGTCGGTAACAAGGGGCCCCAAGCTAACGCCCGTACAGCCCACAGCACTGCACAGTGGGAACAGAAGCTGCAGACGGACCCTCTCTCTCCCTCCCTGCACTCCGAGCAGAGCTCATCCGTTTTCTTACGCCCCACGCGCATCACCTCATGACTCTGCCCTTGCCGTTTCTGAGAGGCGATCTGTCTCAAAGCTTGGAAACCTCCCCACCCACGGAAGACTGAGTGTGTCACGACAGCAAGAACTCGTGTCCCCCAGACCGACCGACCCAGGGGAGGGCAAACCGCCCATCCGCCCGGGGACCGGTGGAGGTAGACCTGTGCTCAGGCAGTCATCGGTTCCCGGCCTTCGCGGTTAGCCCGGGGCTGGGGTTCTTACCGCCCAACCCTCCCACTGGGATGGCTTCATGTGGGCATATGAACACAACATCCTGCAGGGGGACTAACTAAAGTAAAGGAAAGAGGGCGGAGCCAGACGCCTGGAAACGGGAGCCCCAGGCCCAGCTCTGCCGAAACCTCACTGGGGAAACCGGTGAGGTCACTAACTTCTTGGCATCATGTACTTGAACTTTCCACGCTAAGACAACAGACCGGGAAGCTAGTCTACGTGGAACGCCTCTTTGGATGTGGCTCAGACAAGTGGCCAATGGAAGCCCCTCAAGAGCTTCTGAGCAGACACAGGCTGACAACAGAAAAAGGGTGGGAGGTTCCTTTGCTTTTTACATGGCTCGTTCTCATCGGCCTCAAGGAAAGAAGAGGAAACAACTGGATGTTAAACTTCCTGTTGCCTTCCGACCTTGACAGACCACTGCAAGTTCACCGAGACACCTGTCTGACGGCCCCAGTAGACACCCAGCTTATGCCCAGCTCCCGCCAAATCTGCGTGTGGCTGCTGGGGTGGACATGTGGAGGTGCAGCCAGGCCCTGGGAGTGGGGTGCTGCCACCCCAACAGGTGTGCAACCTTGGCTTTACCAGGAACAGCACTTCTCCCCACCTGGGGCAACAGGCCACAAGCCCCACTCGGCTTGGTGGGCCTCCACGTGTCTCACATGTCCCAGACTGTCCTCCCTGGGCAAGGAACCTGCAGGTGACTCCTTCTGCTATTTTCTTACCCCCCCATTGGCAAGCAAGCCCCTTAACAGACACGTAGGAGAATTCGCCTAAGCTGACTGCCCAGGGCACTATGGATCAAAGAACATTAAAATATTATTGAGCCCTGGCCGGGTAGCTTGGTTGGTTAGAATGCTGCCCTGATACACCCAAGTTGTGGGTTCGATCCCTGGCTGGGACGCATATTAGACTCAACCGAGGAAGGCACACATGGGTAGAACAACCAACTGATGTCTCTCTTTCTCTGTCTTTCCCCCCTTCCTAAGAATCAATAAATAAAGAAAATAAAATATCATTTATGAAGTGATGAGAAACTTAAATCTACTTTACACAAAATGTTTACAATACCAACCTCCAGCTCGTTTTCATCAAAAATTTTAATCAAATCAATAGGCAGCAGTTCTGTGAATCCCTGAAAGAAAACAAAAAACAATCACCCTAAACACCTTATTCCTTGAAAGTGGGAAATTTCACAGAAAAAAAACAAACCATTTTTTTCATTAGCCAGGAAAAATAAATTCTTTACTATGATTTATACACCAACAATAGTAGCCATAGTTGTAATTCTAATAAAAACGGCCTAGTCACCATGGAAAAGCGTTGGAAAAAAGAAGCATCTAGAAGGCCGAAGTACGTGAGTAATGCTCAAGCCCTAAGAAAATACAGGTCGCTGTGAGCAGGCGGGGCGCACAGCTCATGTAAGACGCAGTGCGGTGAGCTAGTGTGTCCCGAGACACACGTGTCACGGACGTGCCAGAGAACGTTCAAAAATCAGGCACCGAGATGTGAGAAGCAAAGAGAACTGTAAGCAAACGGAAGGAAAGGGTGGCCGTGCGGTGGCTGCACACTCCTCCTGCCCTGGAGACTGGTCAGCCGTGTGGGCTGTGCCGTCCTGGCCTCTGCGCACGTGCCCCACCCCGTGCCCGGCTTTCGGCGGACGACCCTCCCACGGCGCCGACCCGGGGAGGACAGCCGTCTTCTCTCCAGCGGTGAGCAAGGTGCAGGCAGACCTCTTGGGCTCGGCTTACCTCCAAGAAGGCGTTCATTTGCTTCTGGACCCTGTTCACGAACCTCCACTGGATGACCAGGCTGCGGGAGGAAACGGAACAGTATTTAAGCACCTTCGCCATCGCGTCTTTCTTCACAGCTGCGAGCGCATCTCCTCGGACAGGGGAGGGGAACCCCCACCACAGCAGAGGAAAGCGGGGTTTGGGGCTGCAGCATGCACTGCTGGTTCGTGAGTTCTTTCGAGAGTAACTAAAACACACGGGGAGAACTAAAATCTCACGGAGGACATGAAAGGAATGCTAGATTTGTCCCCGCTACTCCCTAGAGCGAGGCTTAGTTTCCCTAAGTTGCTTTATAGATGCGACTACATGAAGAACAGGGGAAAGGTCATGGCTATGAACGCGTAGGTGTCTGTGCAGAACAGGTGCATACACGTAAACTCACATGTATACACATCCACCTACATATATGTGTGTACATACATTTTTAAAAGGAGTACAGCACACACATTTTATCAAATGGCATTTCACTCTAGGATGCACTGTACCACATTTCAACAATGACGTAGAGTTTGCCAGCAAACTGAGTTACACTGATGCTTCAGTATGGAGGATTAATAGTAAGACTGTTTTATGTGACAGATCCACAGAAACCATCTGCCCCCGGTAACGTCTAGCTGCAGCTCGGGGTGCTGCCAGGCGCAGCGACTTCAGAGACCTGCTAAGGCGTTCTGTTGTGAGACAGCACCAGGGCCTTGTCCACGGCTCTCACCTAGGAGGTGGCACCATGACCGTGGCTGGTAGGACCAGCCTGCTCCCACCAGCTCAGCCCCACCAGGCCCGCGGGGCTGCAGCCAGCAGCACCATGGCTCTCTGTGTGCCCCAGGGGACGCAGGTGTCAGGGAGCGGGTGCAGGTTTCTATCACCCTTTTCTCAGCGAAGGTAGCTGAGGCTCCGGCCAGCCCCACTCCCACCGAATCGGAAATCTCCGAGAGTTCACTGCGAGGAATGATGCCCAACATGTCTGAATCCTCAGCCTTCTGACCCTGGTCACTGGAGGGACTCTTTTAGAGCCCATTCAAAGCCTGCACTTTCTGAGTGAAGACGATGGTGTCTGCCAGGGTGTTGTCTGCTTGCTGAGATTCTCCAAGTTCAAACAAGTGTGACAACTAGTGCAAACAGGTAAGAAGGGTGGTATCTTCCTTCTAGTTTGAAGCTTTGGTGTAAATCATTTTGCTGGTACAGTCTGTGTCATTGTTGAAATGAGGTGCAGTGCATCCTAGGGTGAAATACCATTTGATAAAATGTGTGCTGTGCTCCCTTTAAAAATGTGTGTGCGTACGTATACGTAGGTGGGTGTGTATACATGCGAGTTTATGTGTATGCACTGGCAAGCTTTAAGCTTGTGAGTGGAGGAGGAGCCTACTACACATCAGTCAGTCCATGCTTTGTCAGGGTCTCTAAGTAGAGACTCTTAACACTCCAACGTTTTTCTTTGTGGATTACACTAAATTCCCCAAATTACATCCTCCTGACCAAGTAGGTTGAGAAGCGAGGAGGGGCCCAGCTCGTTGAGAAGGAGCACTGAATGCAAACCAGGAGCTCAGGCCGAGGCTGGAACCTGCAAGATGAACAGAAACTAGGGCCCGCAGACCAGATACGCCTGCTTTGACCTCATCCCTGCTCCGGGGCTATCAAGGGCAACCTGGCAGTCCTTGGAAGATCTCAGAATTGCGTGCTTGAACTGCACACATGTACCACATGGGAAACGGTAACGTACCCAGCAGAGAAAGACCATCTGCCTCGTGTAAATGCCCCAGGGCTACTTAACAGCTGGATTTCCAAAGGGCTCAACACTGTTCCACGAGCCAAGGCTGAGACCGGGTTCAGATAAGTACAAATACCAGAAACAAATTATTGTGCTTACATGGGCTGTGTTATCCTATCCATGTTCACTGTTTCCCTACATTTTCATTACAGAAAAAAAGTCAGGAGAGAGATGACTATTTTATCTTGGGTTCTTCCTAATTTTACCCCACTGGTCGCTGCCATTCTCAACTGCAGCCCAGAGAGCCGCCTGCTCCGGAGGAGTTTTGTCACACTGCTCAACAGTGTCCACCCTCTCCCTCCACCGGTCCCTTTCACGGCGGCTCGCTGGAGTCACGTTCCAAGTCAAACGTCCCGCCCCGTGACCCAACCTCCCGCTCGCCCACGCCAGAGAGGAACCCGGACGGTTGAGAACACGTCCAACACGTGCACGGACTGTTCCTAGAAGGCAGGGGCGGCAACCTCGCACGCTGTGCCGTTTGATACAAGGCCAGCAAGTGCATGTACGTACTCGATATACTCCCGCTTGTTTTCATTGGTGACCATGATTTCGGACCCGTTGGGCTTCAGATCCACTTGATACGTCTGCAATTACAGAGATAAAACCACGGTCATCGTTAGGAAGTTATCCTGCGTATTATCACCGAGGAATGATGTCTTACTACGAAAGTAGAATTTATCCAGAAACATTTCCCAGGAAACAGGCTTTCTGTACAAGAGGCTGTCTAACGAGGTTTTTAAGTTGTTAGGATGTTACACATTTAAGGATGCTATCATGAGAGGCAAACTATTTTATGGTTATTTATGAGTTTTAATTATTTTTCATATATTAGCAACAGTGGAGAAGAACAATATTTTTCTTCTGCTACTCACCAAGAAATTAACTACGTTAACAGAAAAGGGAGGGCATGCCCAGCGAGACTACGGAGATCCAAAAACTAACGCAGTTTATTTGTTTCTGCAAATTGGATTTTAGGGGAGGGGGGGAAGCTGTGTGGAATTTCCTTCAAAGAGGCAAACACAGGAACTTAAAAAAACCAAAGATGCTAAAATACCGGCCGAAGGGACGACGGACCTGATCTCAAAGAGCGAAGCAGCTGAAACCAAGGCGCGACCCCTCCCTGCGCCGGGGGCCGGCGTGGCGTTCTCTCAGCGCGTTACCAACAGCCCGCAAAAGGGGAGGGGGGGGTGAAGCCGGCCGTTCTACACACAAAATGTCTCTTCTCATAGAAACTTCGGGGGGAAAAAAAAGAAAAAAAACAGCACTCCCAGCTCTCCTCCTCAAAGACAATCACGTCAGGATAGTGGTGGCATTCCTTTCGGTCTGTTCCTACGCACGCCCGGCTGTATTTGGATTCACACACACGGGTCACTCAGGGGTGCCTTATGCCACACGCCTGAGGAGTCTGCTGAGGGGCCGGGTCACAGCGAGTCCACTGGGTGGACTCGGGCAGAGAAAGGGGTGGCCCCCTCCCCGCAGGCTCGGTGCTGCACGAACCCCGTGAGGTGGGGCGGGCCCCCCAGCCTCCCCTGCAGACATCGGGATGAGTAACCATGGGGAGGCGTGGCAGCCTGCCTGCCCACCTTCCCCATTCCCTGACCGGGCCTCTGAGAGCCCCTAATGAGGCTGCAGGTCTGGTCCTTCCCAGCTTCCCCCAGGACCTCCCCATCCCTCCCTCTGTCCTCTGATCGCCAGGTTTTGTTTTTTCACGCATTGCCTTTCCCCAATCCGGGGTTTCTCAGCCATTTCTCATTCACGGCCCTAAAGAGCTTTTTCAGACCACCCCCTCCATTGCCCCCTTTCTCCCACGAAAACATAATCAACAGCTCCTCACCCCCCCGTGCTACAGGCGCTGGCCCTTGGGATGGCCTCAAAGCGTGGTAACGGTGGAGACATCTTTGCCCCTCGGGGCGACGCCACCCAGCTGAGAATGAGTGCCTCAAGCTAACACATGCCTGGCCCTGCGGGCTTTCCCCACGGGGCTGCTGCCCCTTCTCTGCCCCTGCCCACTGCACAGCCTCCCAGAAGCCCGCAGACCCAGTGCCGTCCACAACAACCACCTCAGACGCTGCTTTGTGAACTCGCGACAAGAGCAGCCACTTATGGCAGCTCTGAAAGGGGCCTCTTCCTGGTGGGTGGGTGGGTGGGTGTGAGTACACAAGCACACAGGTGCACAGTTCATTCTTTCCGCTTGGCACAGGACGGCTGTTCAATTCCCGTATTTAAAGCACTCCCAGTAGGTCCCAGAAACCAGCAGCTCCAGGGGGAAACCATCAATCAGAAAGAAAACAAAATCCGTCCACGCATTCGCTCAGTAGGCACCAGCCATGCGCTGAGCGCTGGAGCCTCCCGAAAGACCCCCAGGGGCTCCCAGGAGACGGGGAGTCAGGGACGGTTAGAGGACAGCCCGACTGGATTGTGGGAGAGAGAACGACAGTGTGCAGGCGTGGGGCGGGAGGGCACAGCCGGTGACACGGCACGGAAGCACCTGTGGGGACGCTGGTTCGGGCCCCCGGTGGCTGTGAAGGTGAGAGGAAGGGGCATCTAAAAGCTAAGGAGAAAGGCGGGCAATGCTGTGTCCTGAGCCACGCCACAAAGGCCTAACCCACAGCGAAGGTTCCAGGAGAGCCGGAGAGGAACTTCTGCTCGAGCAGAAGGGTGGCGTGTTCCTCTTTGCTGTTCAGAACTATCGCCTATGGGGCATGCGGGTGGGGGCATCAGAGAAGGACTGTGGACACAGGAACCAAGGAGACCACAGAGCCTGGGTGCTGACAGGTCATAAAGAGGAGGCCGCGTCAACAGGATGGGTGACCAGCTGGACGCGGAAGCATGGACGTGGTGAGAGGGGGGAAGGCTGAGAGTGGAGGGGACGGTGGTCCTGCAGATCAGACCGGAGTGGGTGTGGGGGTGGGAGGGGGCACTGGCTCTCATTCGGGGACCCGAGGGCTTTCGGGAGAGCGAAGGGCTCAGGAGGTGGGCAGGCCAGCGGGAATCTGGAGACTAGAAGAAGGGCGAGGGCTGGAGAGGAGGCTTTCAGGTTTAAGACAAACATATCCTACAGAACTTGCGGGTGGTGATGAAAATTCCAAGCAGGTGACTTTATCTTTGACCTTGACCTTTCTGACGAACCCAGTGTGGGCACAAAGCATGAAGGAAGGTGGGGAAGCCTGAGCGTGCTGAGCCCAGGAGGCAATTTCATCCTGACAAGAGAACCACTAAGCAGAGAGAAAAACAAAAACAAAACCAAAAACAAACAAACAAACAAAAAACCCCCAAGGCCCTGCCTAGACATGTGGCAGGGCCTATACTCCTGGTCATGTATTTACATCATTAAGTAAACACACTATTTTTTGAACCTAAATTCGAAAACCAAGGCACAAGCATTTATGTTCAGATTTGCTTTAGATTAGCAGCAGGTGCCAGTTCACACCTTAGGATTTCTGTAACTTTGCTGGAATCAGGGCTCTGTTTCCTGGAATAAGAATATAAGGTGCTGATACAATGAGATGTTTATTAACACCGACAGCTCCTGGTGGTGGTTTTGAATTGTCCAGGAAACGCGTGTCACGACCTGTGCAAAAGCAGAGACATCCTGAAAGCTAGAGAGCCGCTCCCAGGGACGCGCGGACCCACCTGTCCGAAGTTTTCCTCGTCAATGCAGAACATGAGGTCCAGTTCAGTGGGATCGTTTTCCAGGATCCACTTCAAGGAGTTGTAATATTCACTATCCTACAGAAATGACGCGGGAATTAAAAGGAAGCTTTCTCTTCTCAAAATACAAACTTGTTTTGACACTTGTTTGACTTTAAATAGTTAAGTCCTCCTACTGTAATTCCATTCTCATCAGTCAACAATTGCATTAGGCACTAACACAATGTTTTCTACTCCTCCCCAAACCTACTGTGCTTGTTTCGTTTAAAACAGAAGCCAAACACGTTTTAGCGGCAACAGGGGTTTGCAGTTGAATTCCGTCCTCTGTAAAGTGTAGGGAACTCGACCTGCACCGGATGGCCCTCAGCAAATCTCACCGTCGCACATGTGGAAGATGAATGTAGCTCCTATCTTTTAAGAGTGAGACTATCAAAGGGCAATAGGGAGAATGGCTTTAAGTTCCGCCTCTTCCTGGGCTTTACCGTCCTCTAAGTCAGTGTAAGCACACAGGGAGGACCAGGACACAAGTGTAAGGGCCTGGCCCGCCCACTCGCAGGGACCCCGGTGCTGGGGCAGGAGGCTCTGAGAAGGACAAACAGAATGTCTGCGCCCTCTGTCAACCTGCGACGTGGAATTAATTCAGACTTTATGAGACACGTCTGTGGTCCTTGCTGCCTCGTTGTACCGTCATCAAAGCATAACGTGCAAGGCAAAGGTGAGAGCTGGGAAGAAATTTGACCCTGGTTCTGTGGCTGAGTGCCCCAGCCCCCCCATGGAGAAGCCAGTGAGGGGGCTCAAGGTCACTGCCAGCATCCTCCTCTCCTTCCTCACACACGGATGCTGCGCAGAAACGGCTCCCAGGGATGGTCAGCAATGAGAACACGGGCGCACAGGCCCCACCACAGGAGGGACACAGTCCACATCACGGCAAGGCCAGGGGCTTCCTGACTCGAGGGACAGGACGTGACGCGAGGACGGAGCTACACGTACGCCCACGGACAACAATGCTTCTCCATGGCCCTGCGTGAGTGTGCTGAGGCTTGCGCAAACTCCCCCACACCTGGAGGCAGGCCGTGGGGGCGCAGGTAGATGAAAAGAAAAACAGAAGCAAAAAGTAGCTTGCGAAATGCATATCAATTTCTATTTGTTCAAAAAGTCCTTTCAGCTGTAAAACGGTCGGCCTCTGTAAAAGGAATCAAACGCAGCATGGAAACCCAAGTCCCCTGACACAGGAATTTCAATTTCTAACTTGTTTACTACCCTCCACGTGCAGTGGTCACTCTCCCTTCCACGTATACACCCTCCCCTTTATCTACCGTTTTGTTCTGCACCCTGGCCGTTTTCTGAGCTCAGAGAACAGACAAATAGCTGAGGAATCTCTAAATGTTCAGTCTTAGCAGTTTTCGATGGAAAACAAGGGCTGCCGTGAGGTCTCCAGGGGACCCTGGGACTTAATTTGGTCACACCAGCCCCGGGGAAGGAGAGGCCACTGAGAAGTGGGCGTATGCAACCCGCGGACCCTGCTTCTAGTTAGTGTGAACTGTGGCTTGCTTATTGGGAAAACGAGGGAGATCAAGGAAATTCTTAAATGGTAAAATGTTCCCTAATATTTACACTCATGGTGACACCCATAAAAATGACTGTGACTGCAATGAGGTTGCAGTGGCTACTCCGCAAGGCGCGAGAGGCCCAGGTGCCCGGCCGCAGGGTCTGATTTTACTCACCACAGATTCCATGTCGTTCAGGGTTATCTGCTTTCCCAACATCATCTTGTAAAACGGTCTAATGAAGAATCCTAAAATATGATGAAAACTGGATTAGTTTCATATTGTTGATGCCACTGTGCCTCAGAAATGAAATACAAGATGAACATGCCTTCACTTTGAATGAGACCAGGACAGAACAAGCAAAGACTTTCAGCAGTAGTTTGTGACCAAGCAGATGAGGGCCTGCCTTTTTTCTTGGGGGGGGGGGGTGTGGAGAGGAGGCAGTTAGTAGGGAGGGCAGTCACTCTAACAGAGGAGGTAGGGCGGTCAAAGAGGCTCCTGGGGGGTGACAAAGAGGCCTGAAGGCCCACAAGGATTCTGCAGTGCAAAAAGGGCACATGATCAGGGGAGAGGGAGCACTCCAGGCGGAGGGACAAGAGTGGGACCCGTCGGTGGTTTGGGGGGTGGCAGCACAGGGACTCCTGGGGAGGACGAGCCCGAGGGCATCGGGGAGTGTGGGCTTGCATGGGGTGCGGGCGAGTCTGGGCTGCCGCCTCGGCGAGGGCAACGGGAGTCACTGAAGGCCAGGCGGAAACTCCGCCTGCATTTCAGCGTTGTGCTAGGGCAGGAATGGCGAGAAAAAGCAGACGGGGACAGGACATGAGGGAGAACACTTAGAAGGCTGTGCCATCTTCCAGGGGAGGGCTGAGGATGGCCTGCCCACCACACGGGGCCCCCCAATCCACCAAGCCAGCACCATGCGCCTCCTCATTGGGGGCGCTGGAACCTCAGCCCCACCCCCACTTAAGCAGTCACCAGTCCTCTGCAGCAGATTCCTATCTGCACTGGCTCGGGTGGTCCCGGGGCTGCAGACCCAAGTGTCTGGTGAGGTAGAGGATGAAATCGACACAAGGATGTGTGGTTGCGTGTTTGAGAAACAGGACGCTGCTGACCACACATGCCTGTGGGCGTTCCGGCTCTCAGTTCTGCTGCAACTCCCAGCACACACTGGTATCCCCTTCTGCAGCTGTCTCCTGGGCTCCCCTGTCTGTTCCTGCTTTTCTCCACGACTCCCTCCAGGAGCCTTGACTCAGCCGGCCCTTGCCCTTCTGCAACAGTCCCAGCTTCTAAATGCTCAAAGCCCATCCTGCTGGCAAGGTGTGCCTAGTCCTGAGAGTGTTCCCGACCCTCCGGCCAAATCAGTCTCCTCAGGGGACTCCTGAGCTCCCTCCTGCTGGACCCCATCCCTGGGAGTCCTCTGGGGTTTGTTTTCCCACTAGGTTACAAGTTCATACAGGTCAGGAGCACACCTGACGCTCCTCTGTATTTCCCTGCAGCTGCTAAGCATGTCTTCTCGCTCGGCAGAAGGTACATGGACTGACTTTCTAAGAGAAGGCTGAAGTGAACTGGAGTAGCTGAAATCATCTATGGCGTGACTTCAACACAGCAAGTGAAACTATATTCACACGACATAGATATGTAGAAAGAGTGAATGTAGTTTCTTTCTAATTAAAAAAGTGCTTCTTTCCCCAACTAAAAGTAAAACATTGAAACAGAGGATCCAAATCAGTTAGCGAGGCCCTGGCTGGCATAGCTCAGTGGATTGAGCATGGGCTGCGAACCAAAGTATCGCAGGTTCGATTCCCAGCCAGGGAACATGCCAGGGTTGCAGGCCATGACCCCCAGCAACCGCACATTGACATTTCTCTCTCTTTCTCCCTCCCGTCCCTCTCTAAAAAAAAAAAAAAAAATCTTTTTAAAAAATCAGTTAGCAAGTGAGTACCGGCAAAAACACACTGAAGGAAAAAGTCGAGAGGGGGCACCAATTATGTGCTGGACTGGCTAAGGTTCCCAGACGCGGTCTCTCTCTACAGGGACCACAAGGTCCACCTCAGGTCTTACTGTCTTCCGTCCTCAACCATCTCACCCCCACGTCCTTCCAAATCATTTCCAACTCTCCTTCCTCGGTGATGACTTCTGTAGTGCTCCCCCAAGGGCCGCACTTTGGAAGGGACCAAATCCACAAGAGTCCCCACCCTGAAGCGCTTCCATGGCCCACATGGGAAGCTCTCGTTCTACACGAGAACGAGGTCAGCCTGTGCCAGCTGTGCAGCGGTGACCCCGGGGTCAAGGCCAAAGCTAAGCTATAACATTGCTTTGAAATTATTTACAGTCTCTTCACACTCAAATAAAAATAATCAGTTGGGGACACGTGAAACAATGGCAGGATGTTGGATGAATCAGATCGTTCCGACTAACTTTTCAATTAGCTTTTCCATCTGTCACAGAATCTAGCTCTTGCTAAAAAAAAAGTTATTCTGAAAAGCAGAAAATACAGAATCACAGAATGTTCTGTGCTTCATACTAGTTTCTCTTGTAGGAAAATTTTAAACTGTGTGTAGACACTGTGTTTTCAGTGCTCCAACTGACAGCTGGGCAAAGCACCTCCATTATGGGCAAAACAACAACAATTCACCGAATTACACAGAACCAGTGATGCGTTGGCTGGACATCTGTGATGTGGAACGCCAGACACCTAACCAGGAACCACAAACGGCCGTGTCCTGTCTGTGTGGCTTAGAGGCTTTTTAATAACTTACCATCTAAAAGTTTCCCGTGAAACACCGCCAGACCAGCAACTCTTCCAATAAAAGTGAAGTAGGACAGATGGTCTTCGTTACAGAGGCCCGAATTGGGGTTGATCTGAAGGGTGTAGTTGTCCCTGGGGACGGAAGAGAGAGAAAAAGCCCTGTCGCATTTTTTCAAGAAGAAATGCAAGGATTCGCATTTTCCTCTGCCACCTGTCAGTAGCTTTCATGATGCTAATTGCTCCCTCCCAGACTCTCTGCTCCTGATGGGGAAAGATGTCAGCTCGAGAATGTGACTTTTCAATGTGACCGTTTAGTTAGCCTCTCTCTGTCACCAGCGGCTGAGGTCCTACAGAGCTGGTGCATGTGCCCTTGGTGAGTTTAACCGTGCGTTGCTATTTGACTGGTTTTGATCTACAAAAATGCGGGTTTCATTCGCTTCCCAGTACCTTGGGAAGATGCAAACCACCACATAACAAAGGGACTGTGACAAACGGAATGACTTGAGGACTTCCGGTTCTCTGAAGCAGCAGCTTCATTCCTATGAGAGGCTTTTGGTTTGGAGATTAAGACTCTTCTTATGGGCCCCTCGTTGGGCCCGACACGGCGGCCGTGCCCTGAGAGGCCCAAGGGCCCTGCTGCCAGCACACGGTTGCCTTAACGACGCAGACCACAAACACGTGTCCACGTCGCTCTTTGGTCTCAGCGTCTGAGGATCAGTGGTTTCCGAGCTGGGCTCCATAGCCAGGTTCGGGTTCTTTCAGGGGACCCTGGGAGTGCAGGTGACAGGTGAGGATCCTGATCCCCCTCCTCCGCCACTGCCTGCCTCTTTAATGGCTCTGATCAATTTTACGCAGCAAGCTTTCTCCTGGGGTGACATAAAGCAGCAACAACAACAGCAAACAAGGAGATTCTGGGCTGGGGCACCCAGGCAGGATCCCGAGGCCGCCTTCCCGCAGAGCCACCAGGAGACTGGCACCGGGTGGGAGATGCGGGAGACCCCGTGTCCCCCGGGAGCAGAGGCTGCCTCCCAGCAAGGTCAGCGACTCTGCCACGGGGTATGCGGGTCCACGGCCCGGAGCAGGACTGGCTGGCCTTGTAAGCAGCCGATGCTGGATTCCTGAGAAAGCGCTTTTGTCTGTCTTCGTTCCCTTGCCTGGCAACGATGCGATCCTAATGCCCGGGGGTGGGGGGTGGGGGGTGGTGCGGATCTGGTTCTTCCCTGACAGCACCAGCGCACGGTCCTTTGGGTCCTGCGGAATGGGTCCTCCTCAAAGTCGTCACGATTTGCCTTTAACTAGAGTAACTTCAGAGACTAGTTCTGTCCAGGAGAAGAGGATGACTTTCTGAATGCTGACACTGACGAATTCTCCTGAATGAACATACCCCTGCCAGTGACAACTGCCTCTCGTTCCTCACCATGCGTACCCAGCCCATGGTCAGTTTCAATGACAAGAACCCCACAGACAAGAAAAAAACCCCTCATTTTTAGGTGTTCAGTGCACACTGTCTAACCAGGTACAGGCAGAACCTGTTCTAGGCTCCTGAGGGGTGGGTGTGCTGGGGGTGGGGGTGGGGACTGAAGTCACAGCGTTTGTTTCAACAGAGTGAACCACCGACTCCGCCATTCAGTTGGAACCGTTAAGAATAAAATGGCTTCAGTGGGGACACGTTCCAAATTCCCTCCGCATACTCACGTGGCAGAGTACTCGAAGAGACCATAGTAGGGGTTGAACATCTCTTTGGACAGTAAGAAAAACCATTCTCTGGCCACGCCCCCGTAGTCCAGGCCTTTCTCCGATTCGAACTCAATCCACAGTCGAGCTTTGAGGACGTCTGGCCTCTTCACGGACATGATTCTCCGATAGGACTCTTCAAAAATGTTGTTTCTGTGCAGTTTCATTTCAAACCTATTTGGAATATCAGCCTACACCAAAGGCAAAAAAAAAAAAAAAAAAAAAGCACACGATCACACAGTAAATATACGCCTCACTTCAAAGAACAGAAAGGACGGCAGTCTTCAAACGCACGAGCAGTGGCACACGGTGCCAGCGGAGCCTCCCTCCTGTGCGGGCTCCTCCTCGCACTCGCGGGAAGGCTCACCGTGGGGCCGGCACCCCCACGGCAGCCACCAGGGGCGGTCAGGCCGAGCCGGCGACATGCGCTGCAGAAGGAACTCTGCTGAGCAGAGCGCAGTCACCCTGTCCCCCTTTTATAAGTAATCACGGGGCGCTCGGTCCACCTACTGGCAACTGAAACACAAGTCAACTCTGTGCACTGTTTCTGGGAAAGAACGTGACTTCCGTGCGGGTCCTCCAACCCTCGGCAATCCTCACCTGGCCAAGAGGGGCAACTCCTCAACTCTACGGGGGTCCCAGCGGGCCCACAAGGCCTGTAGGCTGATTCTGTTCCCATGGGGAATGGGACCCTGATGACCATGCCAAATCGTGGGAAAAAGCATCCCAAAGGCCACGGGGAATAAACATGAAAACCGAGAAGCCCTTGACAAACCGCAACTGCTTCCTGGAAAAATGCGGGCTGGGGCAGCTCTGCCATGAAAATGGGTCTGCGGGGTCGGCGAGGGCCAGCGCCGCACAGAACACGGGCCAGGGCGAAGCCCACTGGGGTCTCCTATTCCCGGGGTTAGCGCAGGCGACTCACGAAGCAGCTCTGTGGGGGCTTTATGTGTTCAGATCTGAGTCGTTCCAAACGCGGTGCCCCGAGAGCTACCTGAGTCAGGACGGTGGAAGACAGAACAGAACCCCGCCAGGGGGGGTGCTCCCAAGAAGGGGCTGCCTCCCATGTGTCTGTGCAGCGGCGGCGCCCCGTCCACGGCGGAGCCCAGCGGGGGAGGCCCCCACAGAGGGAGCAGAGCTGGACAGAGAGCACTGGGGCACAGGCACACTGGGGACACTGGGGAGACCGGGGCAGCAGGGGACAACACTCTCTTTCCCCCAGTGGGAAAGCACCCACAAGGCAAAACACCCTTGAGCCAAAAACACACAGCGAATCTGCAAACTGAGGAGAAACCCGGTAACGTGGGGGTTTCTGTGTCAGAGACGTGAAGTCACAGAGCAGAACAGAGGGCATAACGTAAATCCGGGCGAGTCAGTACAGAATATTGTAATTTTAAACAATTAGAGGCTTCAGATTTGTGGAAATCTTGTAGGTTTTCCCAGTGAGAATTTGAATCTGAAAATTACACTTGGTCCTAATATGCCGAATACAGGGTCCAGCAGAAGTAACTCCTGCTTGTGTGGTTGGTAGGGTAATAATATGAGTGTAATATGTGAATACATAACATATAAATATATAATTTATAAATAATTTATAGTTTTAATTTGAATATTTCACCTAATATGTCATCTGGTAAGCTTGAGTGTGATATTGTTATATTACAGAATTACATGCTTATGATTTTGTAATAAAAGATTTTGTAATAAAAAAGAAGGGCATTATTGGTGCTAGGCCCTGTATTGTGATATTATAAATTATATTGTTATAGATATTATAATTAAATTATACTTCCAAATGTAAATGGAAGGACTAGACCACTTTTCTAACTAGATCTAGGTTTTATTAAATATAACCACAAGTAATTGCACAAGCTTCTCCAAATTTTTTGTCTAGGTCCTGAATTATTTCACTTCCCATAAAATCATTTCTATCTTTTTATGTATTATATAGGAAGTTGCCCTTCAGGTGATTTGACATGTAATACTGATTAATCTTTACTTACCATTTCTGTTAAAAAGAAAATTCAGATTGGAGATCCAGGTGGATCCAAGTTCAGTGAAAAGAGAAAGGTAATATTTTTGTACACAAAGAAAAGGAACAAGTTGTTTTAGCTGAAGTAACGTTGGTAACTGATAGAGGACTGAAATAGCATTTTTGGAAGCATGTTACTCACAGGTTTCTTTAATTTCTTCCTAAAGTAGTCATATTTCTGCTTAAATTCTCTGGAGTAAGGAACCGCCTAGAAGATAAATTTACAAATATAAACAATGTACACAACACACTTAAAATTTCATGTAAACTGAGTCAACAATCAGAGAATTTCATGAATCATACACCTTAAAATTCTCATTCTCCATATTACATTGAAATTTGCATGTCTGCATAGCACACGGAAAAGTTCTAGAAATGATTAATTTAATCACCTCTCAAAACAACTAAGTTGCTATTCAAGAAGTCATTTAGGGCTATGCTACAGGAAATACCCTTTCCAATACGACTTTTGTCTGAATTATGAGTCAATGTGTACTCTTTCTCTCTCTCTCTTTTTTTTTTTTTGCTGTCAGCTATGATACTTTAAACACAACCCCAGAGTGACCTATGCTGTCATTTGGAAAAGACTGATCATGCTTTTAAAAATCTTTGGGAGGAGATACAATGAGCAGAAAGGCAACCGAACTGATGATATTCTCATTGAGGACTGAAAGACCAGGTGCACGACACCATGGAAGAGTCCCCCCATCAGGGGTCAGGCTGGCCCCTTCCTGTTCAGCGGGCAGTCTGGGGTGAGGGTTTCTGGGTCTGAACCTTCATGCCTCACCTCTGAGGCGGGGTGATGGCGCCACAGGAGGGGGCTCAGGGACCGAGCAAACCATCACTCCTCACAAGCGCTGGAATCTCTCAGGCAACGTAAGAACACTTCAATGTAGTCGTTTAAATACGCTTTAGTTGCTATGTTAGAAAGCAGCTCACAATAGCCAGAGCCCTGGCTTCGGTGCACTGAAAAGGCTTATAGGTATACATATATATATATATATATATATATATACATATATATTATGGAGCAGAAAGGACTGGCTTTTGCACAGACATGGATATAACTGCAGGAGCCTCATACTCAGAATGACTCATTGCTTTTTGGCAAACTGTGCATTTGGGCAAGAACAGCTCTGCTGACAGCCTTTTGGGCTAAGTTAAAATACACTGATCCTTAGCAAAGTGTCTCCAGACTCCACACCTCATACCTTCTTCACCTGGCTCACTCCTGAGCCGAAAGAGGAGAAATGAAAGACATAAGCCTCCCTCCCTCCTACTGTTTCCGAGACAACCACACAGATAACTGAGCCAACACAGAAACAACCACTCTCACAGCGAACAGCGGTCATGTCAGCGTTTCACTTTGTAATCCAAGAGCAATAAAGGTATTGTATGTATCTATCTTAGGACAATTTATACTACTTAGAGTCTGTCCGCTGTTTTCAGTCCACTCGTCATTTGCCGTTCCACTGAACCCTGGATGTGCCCACATACCATCTGTATTCTGGACAGTGCTCAGTCTGATGGAATCATGTGTGAGTTCCTGTTCTAGAAAAGGTGGAAGTTTGGTGAGGATCTGGACCCCCATGGGTGTAAGGAAAAGGGCACACTGTTCTGACTTAAGCCAGTAAGGATATTCTCACATTTCTTGCTCTACCCATACCCTATCCCATAACAAACAGATTTTCTATCTAGTTTATGTATTCATTCTTCAGTGGTTCATCTACTGGTTCCTTCAAGAGGTATTTCCTGAGCACCTACTCTGTGCCAGGCATTTCAGGCACGAGGGAAATAATGGCACACTAACCAAAGAGTTCCCTCCCTATTTTCTCCTGGAGCTTGTAAGCTATTGTGAGCCATAGGTAACAGGAAGCGAAGGAATAAGCAGTGGTAAGTGAGGAAAAAGTGATGGCGTTCCCGGGAGGTTATTTTATAGGAGGAGCTAGTTAGGGAAAGGGAGGGTGGGCAGCTCCGAGGGACACCTGAGCAGAAACCGGTGACAGGAGGGGACACGTCATGACAGGGACAGTGAGTGCAAAGCTGTGGGAAGGCAGAGTGTTTGGTTGATGCTCTCAGCTGTGGTTAACCGTGACAGAGGGAGATGGACCTAAAAAAAAAAATGCATTTCCTGGCATTGCACCAGGCCAGCTTTCGAAAAGCTGATTTCTAGAACAGACCCCCTTGCCAGCCAGTTCTGGGACAACCTCTTCACATGGATTTGACTAGATGAAATTTAAGGCACTTTCATTTCCAAAAATCTGATCCCGAGCAATTATTTTTGTCTTTGTTCTCCCCTGAAAATGTTGAAAAAGGCTTAAACCTTCATCCTTGTGAAGTTCAACAGTCTTACAGGAAAACTTGCCCATCGGATACACTGCAGAACGCCGTCCCCAGCGCACGACACCCACTCCCCGGTCTGACTGATAACCCAGCCGGTGCTGACCGCATGTGGGTGAGAATGGGATGCTGGGAGATTTCTGGCCTTTCCTCGGCTGTGACTGATGCATGAATGTTGAAAAATCACGATCCTCCTCCGGTACTTCTCTCTTCCCTTTCGACGTATAGTTCTTGTAACGGAATGAGAGTAGGTTTGGACGTTCCTCTCCTGAGAAGATTCCAGCAACGTAACAGGACCGAGGCGTCCACCAGTGCAGCTTCTGGACAGAACCATGGGTGTAGTGTCTTCTTCTTTTGGCCGAATTATTTATTCTCTCTCGAAAATCTGGCATCCTACTTTCTTACAATTTAATTTGTAAAATCAGTCTAGTTAAAAAATTACATGTCTGTTGCTTAAAGCCCTTTTGCTCTGCCTCACACGTGCTTTTTCTCTGGTGCACAATGAACACCTGACTTAGCACGCAAGGCGGACCTAAGGGTTTTCCTGGTGTTGCCGTCCAGCTGATGCCGGAGCTCTTCGTGGAGAAGGGCTCCAGGCTGGCTTGGGGACCCTGGGGTGGCTACGGGCACACCTGGGGCTCTAGTCCCAATCCTGACATGTGCTGGAAGTGTTGGCAACAAAATTAGCTTTCTGATCTTCCGACCAATCGGGAATATTAACGCCTCCCCTCCCTTCCAGAGGGGACTGCTCAGCATGTCGGAGCAGCTGATCATCAAGTTCTCCGCCAAGTACAAAGTGTGACACAGCATGACAGCACTCATCAGAGCAGCAAGCACGGGGAGCACTTTACAAAAGCTTTTCGTGGTGACGTTTGTCATACGGACAGCATATTGACTTACGGCCACGCTGCGTTGGGCTGACACACAAAGGGTCCCCTCGCCCCTAATGCATATTTTTAAAACTGGGGGGAAAGAGAAACTCTAGGTACCGATAAGCAGAAAGACTCAACATGGAGAAATCAGTGGGTGCTGGACCTAGACACAGGCGTGTGGGCTGGGGTTTTATCCTCGCGGGGGGGACGCGGAACCTGGCCATCGGTCTGTATGACCCAGGGAGCGGGAACAGAGTTCCCTGCTCAAAACTTACATCTGAAAAAGGGACGAGAAAACTCTACCCACTGGCCCAGGAAAGTTGCAAGGAAGCTTACCTTCTGTCCAGGACCATAAATGGAAGAAAAAGAAAAAGAAACAGACCTGTGATAAATTCATACTCCAAGGCTACACCAAAGTGGGTATGAAATCCATGGTTATGCTAAGCGGGGGTGAGTGAACCCAAGCTCAGTGGTTAACAGTAAATACAGGTCAGAACTTATGAAAGCCCCATGTGGAAAAAAATGCAGATGAGCACACACACAAATTATCGACTGAACCAGGCAATAAACTGCAACTGAGGCGAGTCTACAGACATAACAAGGGGAAATATTTTATATCCCTGGGACCAGATCTAATAATCCGAAAAAGGCTGTAACAGAGGCTATTTTAAGAATGATTAAAAAACTGGAAATATAAATAAACAAAAAAAGGGAAAACACAGGACAGAAAAATAGCTAAAAAGACCAAGAAATTGAAAAAAAATGCAAATAAATCTTGAGCAATTAAATAGTCACTGAAATAGTAGATAAAATAAACTGATAAAGATTATATAAAAAGCTTACGAAAAAATTAACTGAAAGAGCTGAGCAAACTATATACGGCAACAAAAGAGAGATGGAAATATGAAAGCTAGGAGATAAGGAAGATAATTGTGAAAGTGAATCAATGACCCAACAGTTACTGATCCAGGTATTTCAAAAGGACAGGAAAAATGCAACATGTGAAGAGATAACTGCTGAGACTTTTTTAGGCTGGAGGAAAGTCAGGGTCCCAGTGTCTCGAAGGATCACAATGAGTCTGAAGCAGAATCAATAAAATTCATCCACGCTTAGGATACAGTACAACTGTAGAACATTAAAGACACAGAGAAAAATTCAAAACCACCAGTGAAAAGAGGGAGTTACCCATCAAAAAAGATAATGAGACGGCCAACAAACTTCTCATCACCAGTTAAGGAGACCAGAAGACGTGAAAAAGAATATCCCCAAAGTACTTAAGAAACAGGACTGTTAACCAAGAATTCTACAATGAGCTAAACGACTCTTTCACACAGAGGTGCAGTGCGTCCTCTCAGACTGGGCAAGGTCACCGTGCAGGCTCCCGCTGACGCCGCTGCTAGCGCGGAGGTTTGCAAACCAGAGCGGCCGACAGAACCCCTGGGAGGGCTGGTGAAAACTCGGATGGCTGGCTCTCAGCCGGTCTGGGGCGGGGCCCCAAGTTTGCATGTGTAACAAGTTTCTGGGTGATAGTGATGCTCTTGGACCTGCAGCCACGCTTGGGGAACTATGAACTAGAGGCTGTTTGTCACTAGGAACAAAGGTTAACCTAGGGAAAAAATGCAAGATCAGTGGTGGGTAAAGACATCTGTTTGTATCTAAGTAAAATTAGGTAAGCACTGACTGTTTAAAAAAAAAAGGTAAAACACTAATGATGATTTGGGAAGTTTAAAGACAAGGTGGTTCTAAAGGTAGTTAGTTTCCACTGAACAACGGGAAACAGGAGTGGGAAGAATGGCATTAATGTTCTCTAAAGGGCTGTATTATCTAGGAGGAGAGGAGAGAGTGATGAATTTTGACATTAAGTCAAGTTACGTTGGTTAACAGTTTTAATGGGAACACTAAGAGAATAGAAATAGAAAACACAACTTCCAAGCAAGCATAAAAAAATGAGAGAAAATAAACAGTACTCTATCAATCTAACAGGAGGCAGAAAAGGAAACGACAAAGCAGGAGGCAGAAAGGATAGCCTAGGCAAACACTAACGAAGGGAAAATGAATGTAATGCTCGATAAAGCCAGGCACCGTGGGAGTCTGACAGCGCTGTCTTGGTGAGATACAACAGCCAGGGAAAACGTAGAGATGGAAATGGATAATTTAAACACCACAGGCTTGATCTAAGGGTATACATGTAAAGAACACTTCTATACCCAAGAAAGACAGGATACACATTCTTTTCAAACACAAAGGAACATTTACAAAAACTGGCCAAGCCTTCAAAGAAGTTTCAAACATCTGATAATCAACAATCTACATTCAATATTCTCTGACCACAATGCAATAAAATTAGAAATCAATAAGAAACAGGCAAAAATTCCCCCATGGTCTTAGAAACTAAAAAGCACATTCTAAATAACTTACAAACCAAGGAGAAAAAAAATCACATGGGAATTAACATATATTTGGAACTGAATGACAACAAAGACCAGATGTCCACACCAAGTTGACAATTACCTGAACATACACCCTCTTACTGAAAGAAATAACAATAATAATAAGAGTAAACAAGCTCTTTAAGGAAACAAAGAAATAGAGAACTCTTGTGGGGGGGCAAATCTCCCTGGATTTATGGTACCAAATGATTTTCAATAGTAATAAGACCACGTGCTCGAGTGAATGCAGATGATCAATACACCATAAAAAAGATCTGGAAAGACTGAGAAATGTCATGTCAAAAGTCTTCTGCCAGTTGAAAACAGCTTTGCTTCTTGAATTTATCTGGTTTTCATGATGGAGAAGAGAAAAATGTGATTCTAGCAACTTATTGTGATTGTGAATAAAAAAAAAAAAAGCCATGGTAGGATGGCAGGTATTTAGTAAGCTGCACAGAGAAAAAGTAGTGGCCTGTGCTACTGGGTACTTCGTAAACCGTCCTGAAGCAGCTGAGCAAATCGAATAGACAGACCCAACAGATAGGTAACTAGAGGGACATCGGGTATCAAGGTGCATTTGCATTATAATGTCATGTAAGTTTTCAGAGGGACTTACCTTTATAATCCAAAACATAATTTGAACACACTCAGATTAAAGCCACGAAATTAGTATTTTAAATACACCCATTGGCCTCTTAGCACTCAACATAATAAATTTAACTTCCTCACGCTCCTCCAGTTTTTAAAAAGAATCCCAAATTTGCAATCTTCTGTGGTCCCAGTACCTTTCCTGTAAATTCCAAATCACCTCCTTGCACTGTTACAACCACCGACAGGAGGCTGCTGAGGAGATCCGCTTCATTCTACAGACTTCTCCCAGGGCATGGACACCAAGTGTCTGTTACTTCTGAATGCCCCGGGGTTCTCACTTTTCCTTACAAACAGGCAGCATTTTAAGAAGGCAGCGCCATACCTAACACAGAACTGGTTCTTTCAAGTGCAGGGCTGGCTTTGCGTCATATAGAAAGGAAGAGAGGGCAATTTGATTGTTACAACTTACAAGCTGCCCTTTCATAATGGAGAAAAGAAAATGTTCAGTTTCGATACCATTATCACACCACTTTCTTTTCCTTTGTGATGAAAGCCACGTGAAAAGGCAAATGCACCTGTACCTCACCCAGAATCTTGTCACTCGGAAGTTCCCATAAGGAGGAGATGGGCGTAATGTTAAACTACTCAATTACACCAAGATGCGCAGTAATATGCAAGAAATGTGTGTTTTGATGCAACCAAAATATGACACTGAACATTCAGAACTTCAGAATACTGACCGGGCCGGTGATAGCTGGGTTCTGCAATCTTGGGTCTTCCCACTGAGTTATTTTGCTATCTGAAAATTAATATTAAAAGAAAATCAGCATATTAGTTCAAATCTGTTTTGTCAAAAATCTTCTAGAAATAATTATTTCTGGGTTTTCCAAAGCTGTCTAGTCCCCCAACCTGGCCCCCAAAGATAGTAACTTAGTATTTCAGGGTTAGAAGAGAACAATTCTCTCTATGGCAAACCTCCTACAGACTGTTTAGTTACACACTCGATCAAAAATGCACACCTAAAGTACAACCATCTATTTACACTGCTTTTAGCAAGCAATCTGCTGAAATTTTGATTATAAACCCCCGTTCTTTCAAGGATTTATAACTTGATCTTGTTCATTTAATTAAAAAAAGGCACAAAAGCTAATCTTACTCTACCCAAAATTAACGAACACACATGATATTTTTCTCATTTCAAATATTTTTGCCTGTGCCTATGATCTTGAGAAACGGCTCTCAATGAAGAAGTCCGCAATGAAGAAATGAATAATCCACCACATGTGTCACTGGCGGGGCACACAACGGTCAAAGCAGCTGGTCAGCAAGGCAGTCCACAAGATGAGGACTGGAGCGTGCAGGGGAGGAGCCCAGAGGAAGTTGGCCGAGCTGGTGTGAAGTGGTTTTCTTTCTCCCCAAAGAGTCAACACGAGCAAGATCGTTCAATGCCGCCTACACAGCTACCCAGCAGCTACCCTCGATCACGTGGGATCTCTGACTGCGCATAATTAAAGAGGATCACTCGGTGTGTGTGTGTGTGGTGTGTGTGTGTGTGTGTGTGTGTGTGTGTGTGTGTGTGGTGGGGGCAGGGGTGAACTCGCATGAAAGATGATGGGGAGACTGGCTGGGGAGAATGAGTCCTCTCTGGAGTTTTGGGAAATCTATGTGGGCTTAAAAGCATGGGAAATTATTTGTTTGAGATCGATTCTAATTATTTCCTGTAAATTCTGTTAGTGAACTGGTAAGAATAACTCGTAAGTTTGGTTTAATGGCCACACCATTTTCAGAGTCTGGTATTGTATTTATGTTAATGAAGCAGAGGTACAGTTTTAAAGTTACAAAAGCACATAATGATTCTAGATTTGCATGTGCTGGAAGAGGATTTACACGACGTGTTTCCACCATTCTGAAGCACCTTACTGGAAGCAAAAGAGATTTTGGGTCCCTCACACTTTGAAAACAGAAGACTTGGGAAAGTGCAGGTTGCTACTGTCATGGAGAACACTAGAAAAGAAAATGAAATAATGGAAAAGAGAGCTGAGTAGAAACTGCCTTGGACTATAACCGCAAGGCCTGGGTACTGTCGTCAAAGCTGAAAATGAACGAACAAGTACCATACCCAAATCTTCAGTACATCTGTACTGGGACTTCCTATAGGTGTCTTCAACCCAACTCTGCCAAAACTGAACCCATAACCCTCGCCCACACTGTTCGTGTCATCCTGTATTCCCGGGTTAACAGTGTCACAGCCCATTCACTGCTCAAATCTGGAACCTGGACACACCCTTCTTCCCTCCCTCACCATCCACCTTGGCTGGTCACCAACGCACTCCTACCTCGCTCTCCCAAGGCGTCTTTAGGAGCGCTCATCTTCTCCCTGGACCCTTCTCTGGACTTCCCTGGCTTCAGCCTTCTCCCTGCTCAGGACTTCCATGATAGCTGTGCCGAAAGGACCTTTCTAAAGAACAAACCGACTGTCCCTTCCTCTGGAAAATCCCTCAGGGGCTCCTTCCTGCCTGCAGAAGGGCTCGAGTCCCCACACCTGGCAGACCCCCTTTGACTTGACCTGCGCACCATGCCTGCCTCGTCTACGCACGGGCCACGGGCAACCCTGCCGCATTTCTCTGAACGCGGGCACCACCTGCACCTGCACCTGCACGTGTCTTCTCTCCCAGGGGAGGGGAGTTCCTTTTCACTGCGGGTGCCTGACCAGTCTGACTCATCATTTGGGATCCATCTGAAGGGTAACCCGTTCAATGTGCAAGGTCCTCCTGCAGCCCCCTACCCTGGCCTGGCCCGCCGGTGGTGCCCAGCCACTTCACGAGCAGGTGCACCCTGCCTCTTCCGCTTCCACATCAACAAGGGGTTCTTTGCTCTAACACAACACTTACAGCACCCCTGGTTTTCCCTGCTGGAACGCAAGCCCCTCGAGGACGGGGCTGTGTCACTCCCCCCTGCAGCCCCCTCCTCTCCAGCATGGACCACATTTCCTAGCATGCAACAGGAGCCTACTATGTCATTTTTTAATGACCAGATGAAGCTGATGGTGAAAACAAAGTTCCTTTGAAATTGTCTGAGCTTCCAGAACCATACAAGTTTCTGCGTGGTTATAATAACGGTTACTTTTGCAGTTAAGTACTGTCAGTATATGAATGTATAGTGACTAGTTATCCATTTTTTCCCCTAGAGTCTTGTAATCTAAATTTGTGTTGTGTCTTCGAGGCATTTTTCGAACAGAGGGACAAGAATGAAGTAAGAGAATGAGAAAATCAGTCAATTTAGCTACTGTTAACTGGTTTGGTAAGGCTGTGGGCAGAATCGACTAAAACAGGATTTACAGCATCAGCGGGACCTAATTTTCTCTCCTAGCTTCGTGGACCAGACACCTGCGGCCAACTCCTCAGCTGCGGGGCATACCTGGTCTTCAAGAAGAAGGACACAGTTCCTCTGAGAGGGAGAGATTCAGGTCAAGATCTCCCTTAACCCTCTGCACCAGGCTTGAGACATATAAGCTATTTGATAAATGTCAACCAAATGAGTCAAGGCACCTAAAGAGATTAGTACTGCGCATTCTCTCTTCTGAAATTAAATCTTTCAGACGGTTGAAATGATTAACCTTGAAAATGTCTAACTTCTCAAGGATTTGCAAAGCGGAGAATAAATAACCTATTTCAAAGAGAAGCGCGCTGCTGTCTTTGTCACTCCGCGTGCAGTCACCTGTGCCAGCGATGCTGGGAGACAGGATGACCCTGAATAACTCTCAAGACGACTGCCTTCACAGTACAACGGCATATGAAGGATGACCTGGTTTCTGTTCTCTGACAGCAAAATGAGATGCTGAATTTTGCTAGAAGTCAGATGCGGGAAAACTGTTTGGAAAAGGAGGTTCATTCGGAAGGTGGAGAAATTCCTAAATGTCACCACCAGGCAATCCATTCTGGAGTGTCCCCAAGAGTCTGAAAAACCCTCTTTGAAAAAGAGGTATTCTGCACTTTTCATAAACTGGATTTCGGGGGAAAGGCATACAAGTTGAACTCTCTTTCACCGACAGGCACCCCTTTATCACCCTCCATGGAGTAAACCTTGATAAATGAGGAGAAATGGCAGAAATGTTGTGTTAACAGCTAGTGGCTAATGAGGTTCTCATAACCAGATCTTTCTCTTACATCGTTTCTGGCCCAAGTTATATTATGTTCGGTTAAGAGAACCTTTTAGTAAGGGTAAGTAAAGGCGAACCTTAATCTCTGGAAAGAGGAGCCTCCACGTGCTCTCTGTTCCAGCAGGAGAAATGAGGAATGCCGTGCTTGGACGGTCTGGCGGACTGGCAATCCTTAATTAGGATTAAGGAACAGCCCAGGCCTTGAGCACGGAACTGCCCTCTCTGCCTCGCAGGCTGCAGGCACTGCTGCTTCTCAAGGCGAATTCCTTCCCCTTCCTGACCAAGGATTTCAACTTCCTAACAACGTCACCACGGACCTTCCAGGAACCCACTTCAAGTCACTGTTTTCCAAAACATCTACTACATATTATCTTAGTTCTATGCACGCCACTGGAAACACAGCCTATGATTTTATTCTTTCGAACATACACTAGGACGGCTGTTTGCAATAGTGTTGCTTTTGTCTTTGGGTCCTCGCAGTACCCTAGGGACATTTCCAAGGTTTTTTTTCAGGTTGATCCAAAGATCACCAGCCAGGACATGGCCACAGTGTTGTGTGAAATGCTCTGTGTGTAGCAGGTCAAGGTCGCATTACTGGGTAAGACCTTGTTTTAGTAAAATCATTATTCTTTGTACCTATCTTTGAAAACTAAAATTGTAAGGTACACAAAAAAACCCTAAAAAAAACCAAACCAAACCAAACCAAACACCTGTTTTTTGTTTTTAATTGGCAAAAGGAATATGAACCCCCTGTTCCTTCAGCAAATTATGGTAAGAAAGTGATAAATCGCATATTAAGGAAACACACCTATTTTAAAGCATGGATGGCGGCAATTTTATGCTCACTGTAAAATTCTGGAAAGCAGGTAATCGGTATTTTTACTGGTCAAACACAAAACGAGGCCTCTATACCTTGACGTAATCTAATTTAAACCAAAAGGTGGCCCGTACTCCTAAATACACTGAGGACTTCTACTTTTGGTTCAATTCTGAATTGTTGGGCTTCTTGCTTAATGCAATTCATCTTAGCCCCTCACCCCCACCCCGTGCCAGAAAATGAAGGTCTGTCTACAATGCACTTGACTGCTTAGAGACACCGGGAAGAGGCACTCAGCCTGAGAGAGTGACAGGCCCCACCCTCGCGGCCAGACTTCCCTGCAATCGGCTCATCACTGTGCTCAGTGGATCCACGTGATGAGTTGGGACGACGTGGGGCTGGGGAGACCCGGTCCCGGATGACAACAGACAGCAGGAGACTACCGACCTGCACGTGTGATTCGAACTTTAAATCTATTCAGAAACTTTTTAAGATACATTTTCAGAGGTTGTAAGGTATATACAGATATGGAGAATGTGTCACTTCCAGAAAGACAATAAACCGCTGGCTAAAAGCAAACCTTTAGTAGTTTAACTTTTAGTTGAAATGAGAAACCACACATTTTTTTCATAGGTGCTGGAGCAAATGTCTACGGCAAATACACTACAGTTTCGAGAAAAGGACTGCGTATAGATTAGTGTGCTGGGTGCAAGGAAACATGCTATGAATAGAAAATAAGTCAGAACGGGCACCTCGCCCTGACACCCGCGGAGGCAGCGTCTCGAACACCCGTATGCTGCGTCAAGCATTGCGCACGCACAGATTTTGGGCTCCGTCGTCACTTCTAATCTTATTTTCTATTACCAGAGTGTATTTATTAAAAGCGCAAGGGTCAAGGGGGTCATCAACCAAAAAAAAAAAAAAGAGTTCTTAAATTTTTAAAAAAGTTAATAGGTCACAAGGTCAGATTGGGTGAAAGCTGGACGGGCCATTTGACAGCAAACTTGGGGGGAGAGCACAGTACCGTGCGAAGGCCCTGATTCCCTGGGACCACTCTGTCCACACAACACCTGGCTGCCTAGACGAAGAGCAAACAACAAAGCTTTCACTCTCACGTTTGGAACAGCCCCAGCCCTCCCTCTACCTGCAATCCCCGTGTGTCCACACCGGCGCCTACTTACTGTGGTCAATGTAAAACGTGCGGCCATCCACGTGAATTCTTTCTTCCCAGCCAGGCTGGTGTCAGGGAAAAAGAGAGAGAATACAAACAATGAGTGAGCCGAGCCAAAACCAAAGGCAAAATCATGATACTCTAGGACTCTCGCTTCCTCCTTCCCCCTTGGGTACACTTGGACGTGAGGAATGAACTGCAAGCACGTCAAGGTGGCCCTTGCCAACACCTGGGAACACACTTGAATCACTCGTTCCACGATCTCGGGTGCATTCACCGCACGAAGAGGAAACAGGGGTAGCTATTTCAAAGGCTTCACAGGGCACCTTCAGCATACCGTGGAACAGTTGTGTTGGGGGTTGAATACCTCATTGAATTATATATTTACTGAGTACCAAAGGGAGGGCGAGAGAAACAGGAAAATGTTGGAGACAGCTGCTTTATTCACGCCATCGCTGGTGGAGGAATCTAACCTGTGCACTCCTCTGTTGGCTCCCTGTTCAAACTCGGGACCCAGAGAGACTTGGGTGATTTTTTTCAAGAGAGGGCCGATATGCCCTCATCATCCGAACTGGGCCTACCTGCTGTCTGCAACTCAGGAACCTGCCAGGCTCGCTCCCTTTCGAAACTTACTCTCCAGACACGTTCTGGGCTCTTTTCTTCTACGCCCAGGAACCAAGGAGATTTGGAGAGCGAGGGATGTTTGTATAACCTAATGAATAAAGATCGAATCCTAACCCTCCTAGCCTCAAATTTCACCATAATACACCACACACCAGGCAATGGAAAAGGTTCTTATGCTTGGGAAAAAACCACCAAAAAATTCCCAGTGCCTTTCCACTTGAAAATAGTCTTATGGTTCCACCCCTCCCCTCACCCAACCCCCATAATGCTTTTCTTTTAACGGGGGCAGGTCGAGGAGGGTGTGTGGTGAAAATTTCATTCAAAATCTGATTTAAAATAAATAGATCAATCCCATTCAGGCTCCCAAGGAGAACAAATTGATTAAAAAATTAAATGTACAAGCTGTCATCAACCAGGAAGGAAACCTTACAATATCTACAGGCTAAATGACTTACATAAACCTTCTGTGGTTACCTATGCCTTCTCCCACCGTTTTTAATATTTTTGTTCCTATTGACTAAATCAGCATTATGGGGGGAACTTAGTGGTTGCCACGTCACAAAACAAACGTGTGCCGCTTACATGGTCACCCGTAAAGAATGCCTCTCACATCCTAGTTACACGGTCTACCTACTACCAGCAGCTGGCAATTCAGGCAGTACATATTTCATACGTACTGGCTGTTGGACGAACTGTATGTATTAGAATTCAGTCATACACCCAAGTCTATGAAGAAATTATAGACCAATGGGGCCCCAGAAGTCTGGAGAAATTGTCACAGGGCCTCTCCATCAACCCTGGGCAGAGGAATGAATAAACATTCTCGGACACAGTGTCCAGGTGTCTCCAGTGTACTCACAGGAAGAGGGCCAAGGTCATTGGGGTTTAAAGGTGCCTTTGACCGCATGTGTACTGGAAATTTCAGGCGTGGGTCTTCCTGCAAGAAAAATGTAAAAGGCAGAAGGTGTTAGGAGTGACAGACTGTGTGCTATTACTGACTTCTCCCCTTCAGGAGCTGCATGCTCGAAGGCAATCAGGGCGCATGTGCATGGAGCCACGCTCCCCCGTGCACAGGGGGACGGGAGGGTCCCATCTTTGAACAGGAGGCCTGGCTGACCATCTCTCAAAAAAGAGTCCACTCTTCCTCCTTGTCCTTGGTGAAAGAAGGAGAGTAAGACTATTTAAATAATAGGTTAATCGTTTTCCCGAGATGCTGAAGGTGAAGAGGGTTCCAGCAGTAATGTTACTATGGAAACTGGAATAAAGGGAGCCTGCCAAGAGGAGGCCCTACTCCATGGAACAGGGAGTGAAGCCCTAGTGTGTCAACCTCCTGCTGGATCCGGAGCTCTGGGGCGGGGTAGCTGGCCTAACAGTTAGGAAGAGCCTCTCCATCAGTGCTGAGTTCCCTGCTCCTCCCTCCCACTCTTTCCTGAACGGAAGCAGAGAATCTGCATCTGGCCTGACTGGCAAGCCACGTGCCATCCGGGAGGGAGTTTGCTTCTTCACGCAGTCTCATCCCCTACTCTACAGCCTTACTGAGATTCTCGAGCTCTGCACATCAGATTCTCACGTATGTTTTAATACTTAAAAGTTGGCCAAAGATTTTTCTGAAGGGATGTGCTTCTGAAGATACCACAGAGAGCCAACGAAAGAGAAATACGTGGTCTGACATCTGTGGTCACGCTTTCTCATCGACAAAGTACAGTCAGACCTAATGATCTTGCAACCTTGCCCTTAGGGGTTGGGCACGTGATCTCCGTTCCTCGAGACGAGGAAACAGAGGTTCAGGAAGAAGGAGCACTCGCCCAGAGCTTCTGACTCACAGTCTGGGAACTGCCTCTCACTGATATGGACCTGGCGAAAACGCAAGGTAACTTAAGAGAATGCATAGTTTAAACTCAAAAGGTTAGAAAACAAGTGATAAAACTCAGAATAATAAAATGTCCCTCAAATAAGCCTAAAATAAAACAATCCTTATAACCCTTTATTTCAGTTACAGCCCTTATTACTGTCAAATGAGTAAAAGATTTTCTGCCTTGGCGTTTTCCCAAGTCAACCAGAAAATGAAATAATTAGTACAGACCTTGAAAAATACTAAAATGTACTCTGTGACTACTAATGGGAAAGGGGTTTCCTTTGGGGCTAAGAACATGTTCTAAGATTGATTATGGTGACGGCTGCTCATTTTCGTTCACCGTTTATCAAAAACCATTCAATTGTCTGTTTTAAATTGGTGACCTGTCTGATATGTGAACCATATTTCAATAAAGCTGTAAAACGTTATTTTTTCCAAGTCAACAGTTTAAAGCATTAGTATTACTGGGTTATAACGAAGTGAAAGATTTTTTTTTAATTGACAAAAATGAAAAAAATCACAAAAAATAAAATTAACTTCTGCTTTTTGTTAGCTGTAGCCAACTTTTAATCAACAGAATTAATCATGTTAGTGGTTTATGATCGATATTGACCCTGAATCTCACTCATGAGGTCAAGGCATAAAATAGGGCAAGTACTCTGTAGTATGCTGGAACACATAGTGTGTCAACAGATATATTAAACAGATTTAGGATTTAGAAAGTTTGAACAGCTGATATTCTGAGAAACACTTGTGATGAGTTCATTGTGACAAAGGAAAAATTTATGAGTACAGAACTCCACAAAAGCTACCCACTCGCGGCAGACTGGGAGCTGGGCCGGAGTCCCAGCCACAGGGGACCCTGCGGAACACGGCCCCTGACTGTGCAGGTGTGGGGAAAGCCTGAGGCCACGAGGACACGAAAGAGGACGGGGCTTCCAACGCCACGGGCAAGGCCAGCCGTGTCTTGGAATCACACAGAGAAACTACTGTGAAAGACAACCAGCTATTTTGGCTAAAAGCTGGTGATTTAAAAGGGGGGAACCCCTAAAATTACAGTACCAGTGAATAGAGGGTGAGGGGAGCATAAAGCATAACATAAACCCAGTTTTGCAGGTCTGCTATGATGGCCTTGCATGCAAACCCAGAATTTATAGGATGTGGGGGGTGCCAGGGCCTTAGGAGTCACGTTATTTTGTTATACCAACAAAAATAAAATAATGGCAGCAGCTGCAATCTCTGTCTCTGAAGCCAAAGTCTAGGGGCACACTGAACTCCCCTTCCCCCCACCCCGAATAACCAAGGGGCTGGCACCCCCAAGCTGATGGCACAGGTGGAGGGCAGCCAAGGCCCCGGTGAGTGATGACTACCTTCGGGACGCCAAGAGTTGGAACACTAATGAGGTCTCAAATGATACGACTAGAAATGAATAAAATATGAAGAAGCACATTTCCCCATTTCTCCCTTTCCTTAGCACAGTTAAGAACACTCACTATTTCACAATTATTCCAGTATTTTCCAATTATTTCTCTCCATATAGTTGAAAGAGGTTTTAAACAGAATGCAAAGAACAACATCTTTTTAAAAAACAAAAAGGGTTCCTAGCAGAATCACTACACACACACACATGTGTAGATAACACAAGAATGCGAGAATGCTCGCTGGTCAGAAAAACAGCTCCCCCCGCCCCCCATCCTGGGAGAGATCAGCAGCCACGTCCAGGCTACCATGAGCGTATCAGTTTGGATCAGGTAGAGGACACACCTCAACCTTCACTAAGGGCGTCCTCTTTCTTGCTGCAAAAACAAGCCAACGCTTTGTCCAGTAGAAGACACAGACTCTTACATACATGCTTAGCAGGAGGAACGGACCAACCGAAGGCCTCCTGTCACCTCTCCTCAGTCACCTGGTGGCCTCCAGCAGGCACCTGGGGCCTGCCCCAGGTGGGGACAAGTGGACCAGTCGCTGGAAGTCCGGCCGCAGGGAATCCTCACAGGGACACGGCCTGTCGTCAGTAGCTCACAGGCCTCGGTTCTGTCCTCGGAGGTAGTAAGGGACAGAGCACGGTGCCCAGGCCCTCGCGGGCAGGCACTGGGTCTCCGATGTTACTCCAGACAGACTGCGGGCGCACTGCTTCCATTCATGTCAGGTCATGCTTTGGAAACGGACTTCAGGGGGCCGAAACGGTAACCACTGCCCTGATTCTCTGCACGCTGTGGCTCAGGGCAGCGGCCCAGAGCCCGCAGGTTGCTGGGGACGGGAGCACCGTCGTCTTTCCTCTCCTCCCGCGCCCCCAGCCTTTCTTCCCTGTTCACTCAAACCTAAGAAAAGCTGTGCTGCCCTCTCACTTGTTCTCTCTTTTTAAAAAACGCAACAAAGCCCAAACCAACTCAAAATAGATTTTAAGCTGAACAGTATCCTTACAGTTCCCTCTATTCCCTCCACCTTTTGTCCAAATCAACGGGCAATTCAGAGCCTGCCTTTGACAGTAAGAATTCTGTATAGGCCTTTGTTTAGGAGGAGAGACAGCAGCTGGCCCAGCCTGATTAAGAGTCTGATTAAGAAGGGGAGTCACCGGGGGAATTTCCAGTTGTCACCTTAAGGGTTTTCAACACTGGCAGCAGCAACACAATGTTGTTTTAACAAATGAAAAATTTAAATCAGTAAATCAGTCAATAACAAGCATCTGGGTGGAAAGGGACAACTGGCAACTCAACCCGGGTTTCATTCAGCTACGCTGCAGGCAATGGAGCACACTGCTGCTGTCTGCCATACAAGCTGCCCAGCTGCAGCTCCTCTGCAGTTGCAGCGCGGAAGGCTGTGAAAAGGTTAGGGGAATCTGATTACTAAGCTAGTTCAGATGGCTAAAATCATAGCTTATGTTGGCAAGCCACAGTGGCTCCATACACTAATCCACCTACTTTGATACCATCTACCCCCTATTTCTGGAGCTCCCATTTCTGGCTGAGGATTTGTGGAAATGGGTCCTCGAGCAGGACAGACACATGCTCTATGTCAATGAGGAAAAAAGGACTTAAAAACCAATCTTGCCCTGGCTGGGTGGCTCAGCTGGCTGGAGCATCATCCCATACACCAAAAGGTTGTGGGTTTGATTCCCAGTCAGGGCACAAACCTGGGCTGCGGTTTTGACCCCTGATTGGGGTGCATCTGGGAGGTGACCAATTGATGTTCCTCTCTCACATCAGTGTCTCTCTCTCTCTTTCTCCCCCTTCCTCTCTAAAATCAATAAAAACAACAAAAGAGCATATCCTTGATTAAAAAGGATTCTTGTGAGAATTAAAACAAAACAAAACGAAACAATCTCCCTTAGTGTATTTTCCTCAAAGCTACCTATCTCTTACTCTCATCTCGGCCACAAACCAGTAATATTATTTTCAGACTCAAAGGTGAGTCAAACAAAGCTACGCATCATTATATACCTTAGAGGTAGTCATGAGTTTTATGAATATCACCAGGATCTAAATGACAAATTCTCTTGGCAGGCAATTACTGTACTTCAGAATAGGAACTTTTAGATTGGTTCTCACTACGGGGTGTCTGCCAATGTGTGATAACATTTTTGGTTATCATCACGATGGTGGTGGGGGGGCATGGGGAGAGACATGGTGGTTATTCAGTGGCAGGAACCAAGGTTGTTAGGTGTCCTGCAATAAGGCACAGTCCCAGCCCTACCCCAAATGCTGAGAATGTCCTCATGGCGACGTGTTATATATCATGACCCATCCACAGGGTTTGAAAGAGAGAGAGAGAGCCATCTAGGCCATCTAGTCCAATTCTCAAGGGACTGATGAGCATCACACCCTACGCGAGTATAAAGGACAGCCCAGGCCATTCCGGTCCAGGCCTCTCGTGAACACCACACTGCTGTTCCGTCAGCTGACACACTCGGAGTCTGCACTGGAAGCGGGAGTCGAAAGCACGTGTTTGCTGCTGGTCCGAGACTGGGGAGCGAGCGGCCAACAGCAATGCCAGCACTCAGCCGGCTTTCCATCCCGTCGGTTCTGAGCAAGCAGCAAAGATGCTGGAAGGACTGAGTTAAACTGTGTAGCCAGACCATTGGCTGAGGACATAAGGGACAGGAAGAAAAACAAACCTCCCACAGCATCAGAAACAGTCAGAAACAAGAGAACCAACCACAGTTCAATCATAGACCTGTGGGTGATACAGCAGGAAAAAACCACTGACCCTTAAAAAAACAAAACAAAACTGTATGCTACATTACATAAGCTACCACTGATTCAGCTAAAAAATTAACTTACAGGGGAATATAAAAATATGTCCATTCACTTTTCTTAAAAAAGATTTATTTTTAGATGGGAAAGGAGGGAGAAAGAGAGGGACAAAAACATCAATGTGTGGTTGCCTCTCACATGTCCCCTACTGGGGACCTGGCCGCAACCCACACATGTGCCCTGACTGGGAATTGGACCAGGGACCCTTTGCTTTGCAGGCTGGCACTCAATCCACTGAGCCACACCAGCCAGGGCAGTCCATTCAGGTTTAACGAATCCCGTCTTGTCCAAGTTAATACAACACAGAGGTTCTTTCTAATGTATGACTCAGGGGCATGGGGAAGGGCAGCGTGAGAGGAAAAGTCAAGTTTGACAAAATGTTCACAAAAAAGAGCTATCAAATTTCCAAGCAAAGCCCTTCAGTACATCTCCTCCTCCCCAATTAAAGGTGTGAAATGTAGCACAGACGCGTGAAACACTAATCTGAGGTGAACAGTACCAACGGAAGGGCCAAATCAAAGATGGGCCATGTAAATAAAAATGCGAAAAGAAACTGGCAAAGAAAAATGATTTTTCAAAAGACTGGAATTCCTATTAGACGTGAAACAAAAACATCAACATCCTAGTAATACGGAACACTGCTTCCCCCCCCCCACCAAGTATGATAAACTGTCAAAACGCTAGCTTTCCAGGAGAAAAGGCAGCTGACCTGGGGCCGACCGCTGGCCCTGGCCTGGCGCCCGCACGAGCCCCGCCCCCACCAGCCCACACGTGCGGAATCCGGACACAGGCTGAGCTAACCCTCTGCAGGTGAGCTTCGGTGTCGGCGAAATGTTTCTCTACGAGAACCACGAGTACAGAGCGAGGACACGAAGGAATCAAGGCCAGACCGCAGGATGGAAACGGGGCCGGACGGAAGCAGCGACCTTACCCATGTCGTAGTCTTTGTGTTATGGTCAATGAAGAAGGGCCGACCGTTGGGCGCGATCCTCATCTCCCAGCCGGGGGGCAGGAAGCTCTGTGTGACTTTGTGTTGTGGTTTGGGGGAGTTGTAAGGAGATGGCTGTGGGGACTGTGGATTGGAAAGGGTATCTTTCACAGCCCGGCGTATGGGAGAGTCCTTGGCACCCTGAGGAATAACAACGAGCATTAGAACGCTTCGCGTGGCGCCGTGGCGGGCGTGTCCCTACGTACCCGGGCACCGCGGAGGCGCTCTTCGGAGCGGGACCAGGGGGCAGCAGCCAGAAAACCTGCTTCTGTCATTTACTTGCTTTTAAACCACTCTAACTTGAGAGTTTTTCTGCTGGTTAACTCACGACATTAATGACTTTAAACCGTCCTTGGACAGGTCCTGGATAGATAATGAAAATACTGTTTTCTCCTGGGCATTACGGATGCAGATTTTACAGAGCGGGGAGAACAAGAGGCCTCTGCTCTTAATGAGCTGGCACTCCAATGAGGGATGGGCAGGTAGTGTGCAGAGCACAGAAAGAAACCCCTGCGTCATCGAAGACAGCCGCCCATGACATTTCTGCCGCGGTCTGGAAGAGGGCTAGCACCCATTCCCTTTTATCCGCATCTCAAGCCCAGGGCACAGAGAATCCCACTGCTGTCTCTAGGACTCGGTCAAGTCCAGAACTCGAATGTTTACGCTCTGGCTTCTTGAAGTCCCTGACACGGTGATGTTGAGGGAGGGCACTGAGACCACACAGACGGGAGAGGACACGCAGATGCCCGGCAGTGACTTAGAGACGCAGATGTGTGTGCACGCAATGACAGACCCTCCAGTCGGAAGGAAAAGAAATGATCAAAGCCACAGCTATGATGGAAAACTCAATATAAACACCGGTGCTTGAAAGAGTTTTTAAGCATGTCTAATGAGGTCACAGGCAAGAAGGAGCGAAACACAACACGAATGGAGAAAGTTCTGAGAAGAGGGGCCCACGCGTCCAGCACGAGCCCCCACGGCCTCAGGCAGGCGAGGATGAGAATCGGGCGCGAGTCCAGGGGTGGCGAGCGGGGCGGCACGGAGAAGCATGCAGTCATGCTGCACGAGAACACCCTTCACCACAGACACATCGAGTGATCAGAGAGGAAGGCGGCTGCAGAGCTGAAGTTCCAGTGGGGAGGAGAAGAGAGAAGGAGAAGTCACAGGATAGACGTGACCCCGGTTAGAGGAGTGGCCTGCTCACCTCCAGTGGGGCAGATAGAGTTACTGTTGGCGAACTGAGGCTACGAGGCCGGCGGATCTGAGGCTCGATTAGGTGGTTGTTACTGTTGGCGGATCCAGAGGCACCATCTTCTGCGAGCTACGTTGGAGGCAAAAACAAGTTAGCTTCACGTGAGGATCTCCGTCTGTGTGTGTGTGTGCACGCGCGTGCTTGTGCTTGGGAGTGTGGCCCCAAACAACACCACGGCCAGCAGTAATGAGAGGTCTGGCCTATTAAAAGCATGGAGGAAATGATTACACATAATAATGGGGGAGGGGGTGAGGAAACATTCGAGGGAAATAAAAATGAATCACTAGCCCATGAAAATGAGCCTCAGGAAAAAGGGGGAGGGCTGGGAGAGACGCTACACGTTGTCATAGGCTCTGACTTTGAAAACATCTTTCACGTGACATTTAAAAATATGTATCTAGGGACACACTGATTTGGGGATCAAATTCTTCCTTATGCTACTGTCACAGGCATATGCTATACTTAAGATAGGCATTTTCTCTGTGGGGGGAAAAAATTTCTAGCACACGGGTTCTCAGGACAACACGTAAACATTGGCAACCGGGAGCTCCCGTACGTCTTGGCCCCGACTGCCTGCACGCGTCCGGGGTCTGGCGATCTGCATACCTGCATGATGGGCCGCGTCCAGGTTGTGGTTCGATTGTTATGATTGACATAGTATGTGCGTCCCTTAGCATCTTTCCTCTCCTCCCAGCCCGAAGGCAGGCCCGGCGTGGTGTGTACATAGGCCACTGATGGCTGTTTGTGTAAGAAATCATCATTATTTCATGCATTTGCTGTCTGATCAGTTTCATCAAGTAATGTACACCCAGAGAACTCTTTTTTTTTTCTCTATGCAAAGTAAGTTAATTTTATGGGTGACCAAATCATTAGCATCTAGAAAACAACAGCGGATTTCCAGTACCTTCCAATCTACCCAATGTGCTCTGACATGAACGCTACTACAGGGTCCAAAACCTTACGGCACTCGGTTCTAACGCCATTAAGTCTTAAATATAAAGGTTGTTGCTCACGAGATGAAGAAAGAGAAAAGTACCATCTGTTTTAGATACTGCATTTTACTGTCAGGCTATGCTGAGCTTCAAGGTATTTCAAATGGTCAAATGCCATTCTCTGGGAAGGAATGCTCTGAATGCTCTTCCCTCACTATAGCTGCCGTGGGGATCCTCTCCTAGCTTACTCCTGAAATCTCCATCGGCTGACAGCCTTCGCACTATGGCTTTTACAGGAAGTCTGCATTCACACCAGAAGCCTATCATCAAGAGGACCGATCAGGACACCCCAACTGGCCCAGCTCAGGAAGCCGCCTGGCAACATGAGGTCAGAATTCCAAAAAGCCTGAGAGAACTGAGGCTGCATTTACCCTGTCTGCGCATGTGGTTTGTCTCTCTGAAGGGTAAAGGAAGCACAGGCAGTTTCCGGGGTCAGAGACACGTCCAGTATAGAGTGATTATCTGTAGACAGTCCAAATTAGATCAAAAAAGGATTCCGGAGACACTTTTGCTTGTACGCAGCAGTCAGGGCGGAGAACTCTGGAATAGCAAGGACCTTTCAGGGACTCAAGGAGGCAACGGGACCGACGGCCCTCTGAGGTCACTGCTGTCTCAGGAGGAAGTCCTGGATTGTACGATGCCGCATATCACATCTGTATCTCTGAAAGGGGTCCCACAGGGCTAGGAAACAAGAAGCCAACCACGGCTAGCAAGGCTCCCAGGAGAATGTACAAGCGGCAAGAGGCTGAACATTACGTGAGGTCCAAAGGAAGCCACTTCTTTCTGGGCACCACCTTCCCTAATTAGGATCTTCGCATCCTCCAGATGTTTTACCAGCTGTTGTTTTCTTGATATTAGGCTGAGGATGTACTGAGTTGGCCAAAATGTCCATTAATGTTTTTTACCATACAATGACTCTAGTGGCACTTAGTTGTCTTTAACTTCATTTGAAATAATTTTGTTAGACTGCATTGTGACAGCTGTCACATTGGCATGTGTTAAAAAAAGACCTATCGAAGTTGGAGTATTTTTGTGCAGCCATTTTAACATTGAAGATGGAAGAAAATATATAGTATTTTCAATGTATTATGTTTTAGTATTTCAAAGAAGGTAAAAACGCAACTGAAATGCAAAAAAAAAAGATTTGTGCAGTGTATGGAGAAGGTGCTGTGACTGATCAAATGAGTCAAAAGTGGTTTGCAAAGTTTCTTGGCACTGTTGACATTCTGGACAAATAATTCTTTGCTGTGGGGCTGTTTTATGCGTTGGAAGATGTTTAGCAGCACTCCTGGCCTCTATCCACTAGAAGCAATACTGGGAGATAGCCAACATACTCAAAATATCCAAATCAATACAGTTATTGGTAAAAATGAAAAAATGTGTTGTATTTCATGGAGAAAATGTAATGGGCTTTTTGGCCAATCCAATAACTCTCTTAGCCCGTTCCTGGCTGGGCTTATTCCGCCTTGCGTGCTCTCTGCAGACAATGTGCCCTGGCAGAGAGGGTCCCATCAGAGGGTCCCTCACTCACAGCAGGGCTCTGGCTTCACATGATCAAGGGTGCTATCACGTGACTTGGGGACTTCAGTTAATGTGGTTCAACAGCACATTCCAGAGAAAAACTGAGGCCATGGCAGCTGCCTCAGTGGTTATTTCTGAAACGTGTATAACAGGCAAGGCAAGATTATTTGCAAAAGAACCTTCTGCTAAAACTGCAGCAACTACTTTGTTGACGTTTTGCCAGATAAGGGCCCGAAGGCCCCACACTGGTTAGTTCCAAGACTCTGACCACACAGCATCCTGGGTCTAGGTGCAGGGACTCAACGAGGGCAGACGAAACACCAACTCGCAGACTTGACCCTCTCATGAGTATTTGAGACGGATGAACTCGTCTACAGCCGGAAGCTCTTCCCTCCCTCCTCCTCTGGCTGTGGCGACAACAGAAAAGAGCTACTGCCAGTCTGCTTTTTATCTGGGCACTACAAGGAATGACCTCGCCAAACCAAGTTAGAACCAAGCTGCACCCCAAGTGAGCATCAGGAGTCTGTGTGGCAAAGGATGAGCGAGCAAGCCATGGCCTGCTGCTGTTGACAGGATGACCCACAGTGCTTCGGCTAAATGAAGTCCTTGATGGAATCTGCAGCTTTTCTTGCTCCTTGTTGGGTTGTTTTTTTGGGAGAGGCAATGAGATAGGCCTTTAGAAAACTCTGTTCTGGAAACCTTAAGGATAGACTTACAGTTATAGCATCCCTGGAAAGGATCTTTATGAGGAGCCTGATAAACTAAAATAGCCTGGCTGAGCCGTGCATAATCTCAGAATGGAGCTCTGAAGCTGCATGACTTCCAGCACAGGATTCCAGCAACCAGTTCATTTTCATGGGCCCAGTTAATAGGACTAATCAGATCATGGAAAATGAGGGCTGTCATAGAGAACACGGGATTTGATTAAAATGTTCATTTTACCTTCTCCTGAGAACGGAATTGGTAACCCGGAAAACAGTTCCCTTTATGCGAGACGGTGTCATTAAACTGTTTCTTTATAGATTTCTTTGCAAATGACCATGGAGAACAACCTGTACTGATAGTTCCGTTTGTGTCTCCAAACACTGCCGCCCACCACTCTCAGGAGGGAGGGGCAGGGCTCCGCTCCCACAGACAGAGCACGGGAGGGGCCGCCCTGGGGCCATGGCCAGACCCCTACTGCTGTGTGTGTGTGTGTGTGTGTGTGTGTGTGTGTGTGCATGCATACTGGCATGTGCACACACACATGTCCTACCTTCAGAAACAAGTTAATTAGTCCAGAGGCAAGTTAAAGCTGCTGGTAAGCTTCATTTAACATCTCACAGCTCTTCATCTGAACAGAGGATTGTGTTTCATAACGCCGAACAAGCCCTGCACCGCAGCCTCACAGGGGCTCCATTTCTTTCATGAAAATGAAGAACTCGGTGACGTTTACCCTAAAAAAGCCTCCACATGCTTTGACAGGGGATGACCGTTTGGCACGATCACAGGTGCTCCGAGACTCGCTCAGACCCCCCTGCCATCCCTGCCTCCTCAGTTTACTTTAGGGTCTCTGTGGCACAGGCCAGAGGGCTGTGCCGTCCCCCGTCCGTTTATCTCGGAGACGGCCTGCGCTCAGCCAGCCGGGCAGCGTACCGTGTGTGGGAAATGAGAGGGTTGTGTCCTGCGGGTGAGAACTGGCATTTGTTACACCGTAGGAATAAAAGCACTGCCAAGGACAGAGAGATGTGCCAGGACGGGGCGTGGAACATGGTGTGTGGGACCAAACAAGGGGGTGGGGGGCTGAGTGCTCATCGACGGGGGAAAATTATATAAGCTGGTGCATTCACATCGCTGAATATGACGTCATTATTAACGTGTCCCAGAGGAAGGTCCGTCAGTGAAAAATACCGAGTGGCTAAGTAATGTGTACATGAGATCCCAGTTTTCTGTGTGTGTGTGTGCACGTGCGTGTTTTTGTGAGAGGAGGACACAGCCGCAGTGTACGAGTGTACACTGCGGCGTGGGGCTGACACAGACGGGGACGGGAGAAGGAGCAAGAGGGAGGTGCCGTGGTGGGAGACGGAACGAGCCGGAAAGGAGAGAGTCAAGGGCACTGGTGTGAGGGAGAGTGACTGCGGAGGAAAACCAGACGTGACTCTTTCAGACCTACTGAGACTTCAAATGTGGCCATAAAATAAGACGGCTCGTTGCGGCCCAAGGATGAGCAGGTGCACAGGGAGCACGACAGTAGGCAAAACATTTAGGAACTACCCCTGTGGCCCAGGCCTTAAAAGTAAAAAAAGAAACCAAACTCCCATTTTTTATTTATTGGTGGGGGAGGGGGGAGTCCCGGCGAGAAGCAGAGTGCAGAGCGAGGGCCACAGGGCTCGCGTTCAGGGGGTCACTCTGTCCTGCCAGAAGCTCTCCCCGTGGAGCCCAGCCCTCTCACGACCTGTCTGGCCTGTCACCGAACACCACAGCTACCGGGACACTCCAATGGGGACAGCAGGTCCCAAGGCCAATCAGATGCGAAAGCGAATGAAAGACGATGCCCATTCGCACTGGATCCTGCTAAAATTATCTCATGAAGTGATCTGTCTACCTTGCAGCTCCAAGGCCACAGGAATTCCCGGTGCGCAGTCGGAAACGTGCTGGCTCATCGGGAAGTCCATGACTTCTGCTGCAGACCAAGCCCGCCACGGCCGACACAGGACTTTCACAGAAACGACTGTGGCTCAATAGCTTAAATGAGGCTGACTTTTGCTGAATGGCAATTCGACTCATCTGTGTACAAGGCTAAGCATTAAATTCTAACCATATAACTAAATCGTTCCTTAAATCATCAACATCCTGCAGAAAATTAGCACTCGTGTAGGTATTTAAAGGTATGTAACAATATCAAATACGTGGCTTAGACAAACACCATTTTTTTTTCTCGACCTTTCGAACTTCCTAAGTGCTTCCCCCCTCCCAGAAAGTATGTGAACACTTGTTCATTCCTGTGAGGAGTCCCTGGTAGCAGAAAAAGGTCACTGGTTCAAGCGCCTGATTCAGAAAACTGAGCCCAGCGTTTAAAATGAGGCAGAGAAAACGCACCAGAGAGACCGCTCTGCCTGCGCACAACCGAAAATCCGCTTGCACAATCGCATGCGGTTCCTGCGGCTTCCCTGGTTCCCTTCCAACCCAATTCACTTCCCCGATGGTCAAACCAAACGTACTTAACCAAAGCTTAACAGTGTTCGTAATAAAACTGTAAGACTACAATGGGTTCCGTTTTCCCCGGCACCTTCGAACCATGTGGAAGGGAAAGGTTTAAAAGAAAAACCATGTGCATCTCTGTTGCACAAGGAAAGCTGATGTCATCCAAAAGAAAAAAAGAGCATATTCACCACTGTACAAAGATTAAAACCAACCCACAGTTTGCCCTTAAAGTCTGCAAGAGTAGCATTACCGTTGACTCCTCACCACCCGTGACCGTGGATGCACGAGCTCTCCTAGCTGGGGCACTGGGCTGTTAAACAATAATCCACATCAGTGAAATGCACTTCGGGAGACCACCTGATGCCGATCCAATCAGGAATCATTGCTGTGTCACAGCCAGGAAGCCGGCGACAGGAATCAGAACCCTCGAAAAGCCAGCCTGCCCCAAGGAAAGCTGAGCACTCACTGATGACCAGGAGAACAGGATCCCCATCAACCCCCACCGGAGAAGCCTGGGGGCGGGGGCGTGGGGGAGCCTTCCTGTGGGTGCACAGTGAAGTGACGCCCTCAGAATAATAATGGGAGAGGTCTTACTCAGGGAAAAAATAAAAAAAGGAAAACCGCTATGGTTTTGTACCCATAGATAATTAGCAGGTTCTTTAAATCTGCCAAACTCAAACTTCTAGTAAGAGGCCCCTGGTGATCAGTGAGTTTACAGCTTCACAGAGCACGAGGACAGAGGGAGGACCCATCAGTTTCCAGGAAAATGCGATTTTTGGCAAATAAAATTGACGTGGATTTGGAAAAGGAGAGAAGATGCCATTGGTTCAGCAAGGAGAGAGAGTCATAGCACCCTTAGGCTGAGGCCCCATGAGTCCGCCAGAGCTCATCGTTGTTTTTGGTGGGGAGCCTGGACTGCAACCGTCCCAGAAAGGAAGCTCCTCATCAGCTGGCGCATCTGCCAGAAGGCGCAGGTGAATCTATTACTTTTACTACGCACTTGACTAGTGTACTCGTTAACCCATTGTGCAAACATAAAGGACTAAAACCTCGGCAAAAATATCCTTCTGAGTGGTGCAGCGGAGTCCACGGTAGGGAAGACACCGATTTCGACATCTGTCCGTGCACTTTGCGCCCGTCACCCAGAACAAGGTATTCGTGCTAAAAACGATGGAGGATTTGTAGTCGTAACAACACTGGTTAGGGTCACACATCAAACTGAACATGCTAAAACCACGTCTTTTCTCCCCCCGAAGAAGAAACGAATGTACATAACATTTCTTATTTTGAATGCGCACACCAAGCATCAACCAAGGCCGGTCGGCTCTGCCTTCGAATGGGAACATTCACTTTTCTGTGTGTCCGTTACTAAACACCCACCATGCTTCCACATTCGCTGCTAGTTATAAAAACTGTGGGAGAGTGGGGACAAATTACAGCTAATTCTCTCGTCAGGAGAGCTGCCTTTAGAGAGAGGGTCCAGAGGCTGCGTGGGGTTAAGAGTGCGGGCCATTAGTCGGAGAAAGCCGCCGCTGCTCCCCACCCAGAAGAGTTCTTCCTGTTTACACGCATTCACTATGATCGCAAGATACAGGAGGCACAGCTTAAGTTAATTAAAAAAAAAAAAAAACTTATGTTTTTAGTTAAGTCGTTTAAGTCAAGTAAACACAATGTTCATTGGCATCAATTTGGCTGAAAAACTAAGCAATGAAGTGTTTACCATTTTGGAGACTTTGGTGGCAAAAACAACTCTTTGTATTGGAAATCACCCTCCTTGGGCAATTTGCTGGGAAATTTGAATGTCGCATTTACGCAGTGAATGGATTTGCACAGGAAGAACTCTTCCTCAGTAGCCCCGATGATTTTAAATAAAAGCCAAAAGAGCCAACGGAGGACGGGAAGTGAGGGGGTTACCGGTGGTAGGTGAGCCTGCTCCGCGACCACCTCGGTGACACTGCATGACCTCAGCCTCGAGGAGGGTTCCCTCTGCTGGAGGGGAGGAAAAGACACGGGCATCAAGGAAACATTCTTAGAGAAACAAGTTTCACTGGCTTACCGCTCAAACCCCACTCGCCACTCTGTGGTCAGGGGAGGTAAGTAAATGAAACGTCATCCGTTCAGAGTAATGAGAGCGATCCTTCCGAGTCACGTTTCTGCAGTTTCCCCCCTCAGTGTTCTAAGCAGCCTGTGGGGTGGCTGGTCCCTTGTTATTGTAAGTAGCGGCAGAAGTGAGAGAATGAGGACAAAACGTGAAAGGGGACTCGATGGGCTGCCATCATACCGCAGGGTTGCTTTAAAACTGGAAACAGGAAGCTGGAAGTCTTATAATCTGCTTTGGGATGCAACTTGTAGGTAAATTCTAGTGTGAGCTGATTTATGCTGTGAAACAATTATTGACCATTATTACCATGAACAAAGAACCAACTGGACTCCATATCCAGACAAACCCAAATATAACTAGGTGCTACTTCTGAAGGGTCGGGTATTTCTGATTTTAGCTTCTTAATGGAGCTGAAGTTGCACAGATAAGGAATGAGGAAAAACAGTGAGGTTAACCTCAGAAATCTAATGTGTGATGTATAATGTCCCTCTCACTTGTTTGCATTGATCTGTGTGGTTTTTTTAAAGAAAGCCTAATGGCTCCCATCAGGGAACACACACACACACAAAGTCAGGGGTCCGGTGAGCGACGGGCCGTGTCTGGGACAAGCGTGTGGCACTTACTCATTGCTGACACTTTGCAACGATAACTAAAATGGGAGAAGGTCAAAGAGAGACTCTGGGACAGTGACTGGGGTGGGGGACTACTGGTGTCTTCCGTAGTTGTCATGAATGAGTTCGTTCTCTAGAATGAGTTCACGCTGTTGTTCTGGAATAAAGCGTCCCCGAGCCAAACTGGAGAACAGTCCCATGTTCTCCTCTTTCTTGGGCACGCTTACATAATAGTTAAACCAGACTCAACACAATTGTAAAATAACTCTGACACTAGCACTTGGATGTTAAAGACGTTTTATACAGCTGTGATAAGTAAATGCAGGAGCTCCTTATACAAATAATTAAGAGATGCTAACTTAATATTAATGCTGAAGAATACTATGATTTTTCACTTGGTAGACCAAAGGTATATAATTGCCAAAATTACTGTAGTACTTACTTCCTTTTATAGGTTTTAAATATATGGCTTCATTGCTTATATTGTTTCCACAGCAACCGTTTTACCAATTCAAATGTCCCATTTATGCAAACTCTTTTCTTCCTGCCCCTTTAGTACTAAATTTTCATCTCAGTGGTATTTCTCTTTCTGAAAAAACATTCATAGGATTTTAATCTAAAACCACGTTAACTAAGTAATCACTGCAACTCACACAGTATGGGCCAATGGTCTCTTTTTAAATAAAAATAGCGTAACTGAAGGAGTAACGACTGAGTGAGCATTTACTTGTTTTCGCATTTCATGCAGTGCTCCTGCCCGCTTCCATTTGATATCACGGTGACAGTGACTATTTTTCCAGGGTGCCATTTTCAGTGACATCACTTCCATCTTTACAACAGAACATCTTGAAGTTCAATTTCTCAAGAAACCGATAGACTACATTTGTTTTTAATTTAATGCATAAGCGGAAATTTTCTATGGGCTTTTTCTGTACAGCTTTGTATTGTCCAACACAGAGAGGTCTTCCTGGCCGATTCTGCTGCGTCTCAGCAGGGTTGAGCTCCACCTGAAGCTTCTAGAAAGCACCCCTAATAGTTGAGACCCCAAATTCAGATGCTACCACTGATGTCAGTATCCCGATGCCACAGCCCTTGTCAAGGACTACTTTTCTGGGGCTTAGGTGGTGTCTTTGATCTCCCATCCAAACTTTGTCTTCATCCGTGAAATGAGAATGATGGACAGGCAGAGTGTTACTTAAGAGGACCGATTAGGAGGTCCAATGTCTCCTATGTCCAGATGTAAAATGCCACCTTTTGTGACAAAAGTACTACGTGTGAGCCTTTGACTGGGAGAAGAAATGCCACAAGGTTAAAGTCGGCAATTACAGAAGCCAGGAACTCTTATTATTCTCTTGCATTCTTTTCAAATCAAGAAAGATGCTCACCTACTTGGGCTAATGGAGGTATAACCCTGCTTCTGCGAGGTTAGGAGGAACTTTGGAAAATGTCAGTCGTCTGGGAGCTGGGAGACCCCTGGTCATTATTTGCATGTAAGACTCTCTTACAGCAACAAAAAATAATAAAATGTTTGCTCAACTTCTCAGTCAAACAGGACGACTACTTACAATCAAAGAGCCAAACTGCTCCCCGTTGGAGTCCGGAGTGATCTGAAGTCTCCTGCTCAGTTCCTCGGACAGCTCTTGAGGGCTGGTCCGAGAGCCTGGGGAGGAGGGGGGTGGGGGCAGCGCCAGACTGAGGGAGTCTCCGGTGACAGTCATTTCTTCTGAAATGGTCTCCCAAGGCTATCAGGGAAGGAGATGCTGAGTTAAATGCCAGGAATGAGGAATCCTTCATTATCATAGTCATTATCATAACTATAATTAACATTTACTGAGCACTTAGGAGGCAGGCAATCTTCTTAAACATCATGACGAAGATATGACTACTACCCTAATTAACAGATGAGGAAACTGAGGCACAGAGGGTGACCTGCCCGAGGTAACAGTGTTAGGAAGTGTCAGGACCAGGTCTTGAACCAAGAAAGCCTGGTTCCAGGAGCTGTCCCTTTAACTGCTTTCTAGTCCTACCTCTCGGAGCTGAGACTTCCTTCTAGCACTTGCTACTTAAATGCATGGGTTAAAGAAATCATCTCAGGAACTCCCTGGCACTTTCCATGGATTTCTTGTACCTAAGTGCTGAGGATTCCCACTGAAAACAGCAGAGGTGCTATAATCTGTAATTAAACACTGGTGTAAAGTACCCTTCAGTAAATTTTTTATGGAATCCTTAATTTTGCTTTTCCAATTTTGATCGCAGGAGCACTTTGCAAATGGTCTTCTTCCTAACAAAATGTCTTTTGTGGATTTCTAGTAAGTAAACAGAGTTGTTAGGGCAGCATGGAAATTATGATAATTGTTCATTTGTTCTTCAATTTATAACTTTCCCCTCCAGGAATTTACCACAAACATTTCAGAAAAAAATTATAAACATTTCTGTTCACCCACATTTGTATTTGCTTGGTAATAAATTTCTTTTGCGATATCAAATTATTCAGTAAAAGCTTGTATTTAGTACCCAAACAAGTTACAGGGCTCAAGTGCACAAATAGGATAACCATATTGCCATTTAATAAGATGTGATTAGACTCTGGGGGAAAAAATTATAGAGTGAGAAAAATGCTAAGATTCCCGTACAAAGAATAATGTCATTCCCTTTTGTAATGATACAGATACTTCTTCATCAAACACGACTTTCATAAGCACTTTCCAAATTCCTATCCCGATGGTTGTCAGTTAGCTATGAGGCCATGAGCTTTATTTTCTAGCTTGCTTTTATGGGGGAAAGCAATCACAACACAGAAGCGAGCTGGGGACAAGGAAGGTGGAAGTGCAGGGTCGGGGGGAATGGGATGTGGTACCTCGTTGTCTCCGCCCTCCGACTGCTCGGGCTCCAAGTCCTCGCTGATGTGCCTGCGGGAGCGGAAGCGCCGGTGCGCTGCCTCCTGGTTGATCTGCCGGATGTTGCTGTCCGCCTCGGAGGACGCGTCCCTGAGGGTGAGGGGATGGAGATAGGAGACCGGTATTGGTAAGTGGACCTTCAATAAGGGCCCAAGGCTCATGAGGGACCTTACCCCTAAAGTGCCAGCGCTCTGATGGTCAACACACTGACAATGCGACTTCGGCCACCACAGTTTGGCCAAAATGTAGTTCTAGGTTCCTTTCCATCACGTAAATACAGGTTTTACATGCATCCATCACAACATCTGGGTGTCTTTCAGGCACACACGTCAAAATGCACTGTTGCAGTTACGAGAGAGGAACAATCAGGCTCCGGTGATGTCAGGACTCTCTAAGGAGAGGTGTCAGGCGCAACCCTCCCGGGAGCCTAGCCATGACAAGGGATCAACTCTTGGTCATTAACAAACCACAGTGTGCACAGGGCCAACTCAAAGCTGGGATCTGGAGGGAAGTGCTCCTTACTCTGCACACGTCTTTTCGGCACCCGTGGATCGCCTTTGCACAGAATGTCAGACGGGGGACACCGTGTTCCTCCCCGATCACCGACTGTCACACGTTCACACATCAGGTGCTAACCTCCCACATCATCCGGGGTTTGAAGAATACCGATACTTCATACTCTATTTTTTTTCCTTTTTGTCATACAAGTAACTCTTTTAGTTCAGGATCTGAAAGCATCGATTCTATCTAGAAAACTTTTGCAGTAAATTGCGGGCCATCATCCTCTGGGGGAAATACTATCTGGAGGTTTTCAGGCTAGAAGTTTAAATGTTAAAACGTTTCTCGGAGAAAACTCGCACAGGCTCTTGATAAGACACTATATTCCGTTCACAAAAAATGGTGTCACTAGTTAATATTTCAAAATATTTGAAAACAAGATTTCAGACTAATTGAAATGTAATATTTGTCCAGGTGCCTTATTACAGACTTTTCCTAAAACATAGGTTTTAAATATTCTAATACAGTTTCGAACTAATGAATAACCATATCCCAGTAAAGAGCGTATTAGGAACCTGAACAGTGACTGATTTGCGACTAGCAGCCCTGTATGCAAATAAACAGGTGAGTCTAATATGCCACTTTCTGAGATAGTTTAAGTATTTCCAACGGGCGTCTTTATACTACTAACTTTACTGGTAAAGGGGGTAGTATAAAGATTAGCTTTTATTTAATTCATATTAGAATGATAATTCTTTATTATGAAATTCTGAATGAGTGAAATTTTACTGTATCTGCACACCCAATACATAAAATTCTGAATCCAAATGGAAATACATATCCTGCATATTTTAGAGTAATGCTGAAGTATAACCAGTCTAAAAACAGCACACCAAATAGAGATACCTTGAGAAAAACAGACAATTATGGCCATATGGGAAAGAATTAAAATAAAGGAATATAAAATTTCTAAAACCACAAAAACAAAATGATAAAAAATGATACTATCGGATATGTTAGAAAATGTAGTATTGTTATTTGTGATTTTATGTTGTTGCAGTCATTTTTATATGACATTGATTTCTTAGGCACACAAATAATAAAAAGTCAATAGAAGGTATTATCAAGCTCACAAAAATTAGGTCAGAATAAGGTCGGAATGATCAGAATAGCTTCATAATCTATGCAAAATATTTCAGTAATGTCTAAGAAGACCAAGGAAACTTTACATTATCCTGTTTTGCTTTTTATTAAGGATGAAAGCAATGTATCACTTTATAATGACTAGCTTTACTTAAAAATATTTTATATATTCGGAGTTCCACTGAAATTTTAAATCATCACTTGAAATATCCGTCTTCATTTATTCGAGGCTGAGTGACAATGTTTGCACGCTGTGTGCCGGGTCGCACACATACTCGCATTGTTACAGGGATGCCCGAGAGACTGAAAAAAATAAGGTTTTTATATTACTATATCTGCATTTTATCTCTCTCAGAAGCATACAAAATTCCATTATTTTGGAAGAACTAATTGTTTTTTTTTAAAGGGGGCATTTAAAATCAATTATGCCAATCCTCCTCACCCAACACACTCAAATAATTAGTAATCTGTGAGAACCAGCAACAATTAAATAGCATAAAGAAGCAGGATACTTCTGATTTTGAGATTCCAAACATGGGTTTTTATGGGTTTCAGTGATAAAATGACAATGTTCACACCATGGAGAACTTTTGTATTTAATTAAGCAACTGAATAAGAGGGATTGAAATGAAAGCTGTCGAAGCTGACTGCAGTTTAAATAGTCACTAGCGGGACAATGAACATGTAAAAATACTTCTAATCTGGCAAATTAAATCAAAAGTGGTTTTATTGGGGGCAAGAAAAAATTTAAGAAATGGCCATTTCAATTTTCTTCCATCATTAATTTCACATGGGTGTTCTTCATTTGACTTTCATGGGCAAGAAAAACCACAAGTTTATCCAGACCAGCGTGTGACGTCATTTACATTCACATACGTTAGTGGCTATAATGATGGCCGAGTTCCCTGGATGTGACTGAACTACTGCTAAGACAGGAAGATACACAAAGTGTTTTAGAAAGAGAGCTTAAAAAAAAAAAGTGAAAATAAGTGAGTTCAACAAGTTCATCTTCATTCATGGTCTTAATGTAATAATTCCTCACCATTTAAAAAATTATAGTTTTTACAGTAGAAAAAGTTTACAGTTTATGTTTAAATAGGAAAAGGGCCAATTTAAAATTAGGGGTGTTTTAAAAGCCACCATCATACTCGAGGGGGCAGGGGTACCTTCTGTGGTCACCCTGCTCTCAAGTAGTACATCCAGGCCTAAACCCGCCTTAGACATGTCAGGAAACCATGTGCCTGTCACCGCTTTCAGAAGTGACTCATTCACAGACACTCCTTCAGCTAAAGGCACCGGCTGGGCTCCGACCTTGTGCCACGTTCGCAGGGTGGACCTTCGATAAAAAGGCCCCGCCCCTGCTCCACCGGGGAACGAGAACACTCTGTGCTCCGTTCTGTGACTGGGGGAGAGGAGCACTTCACAGGGACGCCCGCCTGAAGAGGCACAGCAGCCTGGGGAAGAGGCATGTTCCAGGGCTGTTTCCTTTTCGGTGGGGGAGGAGGGAACTAGCAAAACCACAGAGCCACAGAGAGAAAGGAAGAGAAAGCAGCTGGCATGATGCCACTCTGGTGTGCTGCTTGTTCGTGAGGGGGGCAGGAGAGGGTGAGTCTGGAAGAGACAGGGTGGAGAAGGACCTTGTAAGAACAGCCTGAGGGCACCGAGGTTATTCAGGGCGGAAACTTTTCATGGGGTTAAAGTTCGGGGCACAAGTTTGTGATAGACTGGATGAGACTGAGTCACCAGAAGAATCTCTGTGAGCACATGGTAATAGGTAATCACTCTCTGGCTTCCTCAGATACAGCCTTATAATAAAGACACTTTAGTATCAATCTCACTCCAAAGAATACTGTAGTATTATTTTGTGGAAACTGAATTATGAAAACAATTATTTTTAAATTAAAACAATTCTTTAACAGACTGATAGCAGCTGGTGAAATTGAAGCAGTAATCAAAAAACTCCTGGCACATGAAAGCCCTGGGCGGGATGGTTGCACAGGAGAATTCTACAAAGCATTTAAGGAAGAGCTAACCCCTATCCTTCACAGACTATTTCAAAAAAGCCAAGAAGAGGGAAGACTCCCAGGCTGGTTTTATGAAACTAGCATCATCCTAATCCCCAAACCAGATAAAGACACAACAAAGAAAGAAAACTATAGGCTAATATTGTTAATGAACACAGACGCTAAAATCCTCAACAAAATATTGGCAAAGCGCATCCAACAATACATTAAAAAAGATCATACACCATGATCAAGGGGGACTCATCTCAAGGATGCAAGGATGGTACAAAATTCACAAATCAATAAACATAATACATCACATAAACAAAAGGAAAGACAAAACTCACACGATCATATCAATAGATGCGGAAAAAGCATTTGATTAAGGTACAGCACCCATTTATGATAAAAACACTCAGCAAAGTGGGAATAGAGGGAGCATTCCTCAACATAATAAAGGCCATATATGAGAGACTACAGCCAACATCATACTCAGTGGGTAAAAAACTTAGAGCTTTCCTACTAAGATCAGGAACAAGACAAGGATGTCCACTTTTACCACTTCTATTCAACATCGTATTGGAAGTCCTAGCCACAGCAATCGGACAAGAAAAAGAAATAAAAGGCATACAAATTGGAAAGGAGGAAGTAAAACTGTCATTGTCTGCAGATGACATGATAGTGTACACAGAACACTCTATAGGTTCCACCAAAAAACTACTCGACCTAATAAGTAAATGTGGCAAAACAGCAGGATACAAAGTCAGTATTCAGAAATCAAAGGCATTTTTGTATGGCAACAATGAAATATCAGAAACAGAAATCAGGAAAAAAAATCCCATTTGCTATAGCAATAAGAAAAGTAAAGTGACTAGAAATAAGCCTAACTAAGGAGCTAAATAAAAGACCTGTACTCAGAAAACTACACAACTGAAGAAAGAGATTAAGGAAGACACAAATAAATGAAAGCATATATCATGTTCATGGACTGGAAGATTAACATTATCAAAATGTCCATACTACCCAAAGCAATTTATAGATTCAACGCAATCCCTATTAAAATACCAATGACATATTTCACAGATATAGAACAAACATTTCAAAAATTTATGTGGAACCATAAATGACCCCAAATAACCACAGCAATTTTGAGAAAGAAGGACGAAGTAGGAGGGATCACAATACCTGACATCAAACTGTATTTCAAGGTCACAGTAATCAAAACAGTCTGGTACTAGCATGAGAACAGATACAGAGATTAGGAATAGAATAGAGAGCCCAGAAATAAACCCAAGTCTCTGTGGTCAATTAATATTTGACAAAGGGGGCAGAAACATAAAATAGAGTAAAAATAGCTTCTTCAGCAAATGGTGTTGGGAAATCTGGACAGCTAAATGCAAAAAATTGAAACTCAACCACCAATTTACCCCATACACAAAAATAAACTCAAGATGGATGAAAGACTTAAGTATAAGTCGTGACACCATATTAGTCCTAGAGGAGAACGTAGGAAGGAAAATCTCAGATATTCCACCCAGGAATATTTTTACCGATATGTCCCCTAGAGCAAGGGACATAAAGGAAAAAATAAACAAATGGGACTTCATCAAAATAAAAAAGCTTCTGCACAGCTCAAGAAAACATTAGCAAAATGAAAGGAAACCAACCATATTGGAAAATATATTTGTAAATGATACCTTGGACAAGGGTTTGATCTCCAAAATATACAAAGAACTCACATGGCCAAGGATCTGAATAGACACTTCTCCAAGGAGGACATACAGAGGGCCCAAAGACATAGGAAAGGATGCTCAGCATTACCAGCCATCAAAAAGATGCAAATGAAAACCATGATGAGATACCACTTCACACCGATCAGAATGGCCATCACAACCAAATCAATAAACAAATAAGTGCTGGTGAGGTTGTGGACAAAAGGGAACCCCAGTACACTGTTGGTGGGAATGCAGACTGGTGCAGCCACTGTGGGAAACAGTATGAACTACCTAAAAAAACTAAAAATGGAATTTCCTTTTGACTCAGCAACTCTACTGCTGGGATTATACCTTAAGAATCCTGAAGCACCAATTCAAAAGAACCTATGCACCCCAATGTTCATAGCAGCACAAGTTACAGTAGCCAAGTGTTGGAAGCAACCTAAGTGCCCATCAGGAAATGAGTGGATCAAAAAACTATCATACATTTACACAAAGGAATACTAGGCAGCAGAAAGAAAGAAGGAACTCCTACCCTTCATGACAGCATGGATGGAACTGGAGAGCATTACGCTAAGAGAAAGGAGACAGGCAATGAAAGACACATACCATATGATCTCACCTATAAGTGGAACCTAATCAACAAAACAAACAAGCAAGCAAAATATAACCAGAGACACTGAAATAAAGAACAAATGGACAGTAACCAGAGGCAAGGTGGGAGGGGATAATGGAAGGGGCAGGGTTGTCAAGGAACATGTATAACACATGGACAAAGCCAAAAAGGCGTAGGATAGAGGGTAAGAGGTGGGAATGGCTGGGGTGAAGTGGGGAGAAAAACAACAATTATTCTTTAATTCTGGAAGGCTTCTGGCCAAGCCACATCAAGTGAAGGAGAAAGAACCCCAAGTTCTCTAACAGTTCAGATGAGACAGAGGGGATGCTGTGGAAACCCACTCTTTCCTTATCTAACCTTCTCTCTCTTTCTAGAAGACATGCCTGCTGGAAAAGGGCCACTCCACAGCTCTGCAAGTTCCGCCCAGGGTTCAGCTGACGTCCTTCCTGGACCCTCCTCTCCTTTGAGCACGGTGGCTGCCTTCGCTGATGGGGACAGCCATGCCCCTGACTCCTCCCTAAACTACATGTGAACCTGAACTTGGATGAGGAACTGCATTTTTCCCATGTTGCTTCTGGACTACTGATTTGCCAACATTACACAACTTCCATCTTCTGTTTTGGTTTAGTTCTCTGGGACACTGCCACCAAAGATGGTATGTTTAGAAAAACCCAGGACGTGTTTTCGCAGTAATCCCCTTGTTCGTTTCGCAACTCTGTGAGGCAGAGAAAGTTGCCATGATCACCATCCGCCCTCCAAATAGAGACTTCAGTTTGCGTGACAAGTATTAACGAGGGTGGACATTTTCCATATATATGTTGGCCATTAGTATTTCTTCCTTTGTCAGTTGCTAGAGGTCACTTTTCTACAGAGGTCACATGACCCTCTGGTCCCCACGGAGTGCTATGTTTTAAGGCCCTTTACTAGGATGTCTAGCAAAGGCAGATCATGGTGTTTTGCTTCGGGTATCGCTACCAAGAGTTCTCTGATCACTACATATAACCAAGGCCAAGGTGAGTCCATTTCTTTTTTAACTACAAACAGCCAGAGTACTCAATGGCTTACAATACTTTTAAGAGCTATGGCCATGAATCAAAGGAAAACAGTAAAAATGTAAAATAAAACAAAAGTCAATTTAAAAAATCGCTAAATCATTACCATGGGAAAAAAATCACAATGGAGGAGAGTTCAGCACCCCCTGAACGTGGACGTTCAGATGTTCACGCTGTCCGGGGAGCGAGGAGCTGACGGTGGCCAAGCAGGGCAGTCGGAGCTGCCTGAGAGCAGCTGCTGTTCACGAGAACCCACGTGGGGGCTTCGGAACCACTGGCCATTGGCTGTTGCAGGTTCCTCAAGCTCAATCTCTACACCACCAAAGAAAGCCCAGACCAAACTTCTCGGCCCCTTTCCCCGCCCAGAATCATGCGCAGAATATCTTTGCAATTTCTAAAGGAAAAAGGGTTATCAGTACCACTTGTTTCAAAAATATCATTAGCAAATTTCCTTCCGAGTCTGGGTTAAGGAGAAAATTATCTCACCTGATATACTTGGCTGTTAAGTACATATTGCAAGTTACAGAACTCATGGACAAGTACCTCCTTTATCTTGGCTGCGAAGGAGGCCTGGCTACTCATGCAACTCATGATGGCTAGAATCATTTTTCTTTTCCTCTTTTAATACTTTGTTTTTACCTTTTATTGCATATCAATAGTTTTAGGTCCTGCTGCACACCGTGATTTAAAAACAAGCTACTTCAAATCCTTTTTTATAGTAGCTGAGGTCTAACTAGTGTTTATTTCCCATCATCAAACCAAAAATTGCCAAGCAAACAAAATAGTAATCAGTGCGCACTGCATCCCTGAGGCTGGGGAGGGCGTAGAATAAACAGTAATTACTAATTCTGAGTTTGCACTCTTCTATGTGTTCCTAATTATATCAAGGGGGGTGATATAGAAATCTCCCCAATAGGGAAAACAAAATTCTTGAGAGGGTTTCCAAATCAAATAATTAAAGGGAATAAAGATCCAAAATCCTTAGGGAAGAGTTCCATTCTGGGCTAGTGAGAAGAGGAAGCTGCAGAGGAGGGAAAGGACAGAGTCCCCCCACGTAAGGTGAACCCAGGAAACGTAACCTCTGCTTTACGTTTCACGAATCCATAGAGGGAAGACAGAACGTGATAAAAGGCAAGAGCTTCCTCGCCACATGCAAATTCTGACAGCTGCCGAGCTCCTGAACTCAGTGGAGAGGAGCCCTGGGGTGCCACACAGCCACGTGCTTTTCTAGATGTGAGACTTCCTTCCCGGCCTCGTGCGGAAGAGCTGCCACGTCCACAATAACTGCAGCAGGCAAGCGTGCGCCCCTGACCTTCGCACGGTACTCACATTAAGCTGGGTCGGTGCCACTGCGTGGTCCGGTTGTTGTGGTTGACGTAGTAGGTCCGACCTAAGTTGTCCACTTTTTCTTCCCAGCCCGGGGGCAGAGGAGGCGGAGGAAGCTCCTCCTGGTGCTGAGAAGCTGAGTCATTCGTGTCCACAACTTCCCACCCGTGCTGCGGAGTAAAATCAGACGGAAGGTCACGGGGCGGGTTCTTCAGGTGTGCGGAGGACACAGGGACAGCGCCGCCTGCATCCTGGGCTCCGCTGCACTCTGGCTCCTGCAGTGGCCTCATGTGCCACATCTGAAGAAATTACCCAAAAGGGGGGATGGCACCTATTCCAGAGGAGTCTTAATAATATTTTGAGCTACGGCCAGTGGACTGTGCTGCCCTCTGGGATGGCTGCACTGTAAGGAGCAACAGCGGGCGGGATGTGTGCGGTCTGCTGTGCCACTGAGGCACATGATACACTCCTCTGGTATTTCACATTCGTCATTTTGACCTGTAGGCCTACAGGGCCAGACAGAGCCAAGGCAATGACATGGGTCATGTTAGGTGGCCATCTTTTCAATACCTCCCCAAGGGAAAAGGGAGCTGGGGAGATAAGCCATACTGTGCATGCTCTAACAGACATCACAGCGCGAGTGACCAGCAGGCCCGTGGCTCCCCTGTTCCCCAGGAGGGTGGCACCGAGGCTGGCTCTGGGGGGTGAAGCTCCCACTCTGCATCTTGTACCATCACCGGAGCCACGAGAAGTGTGGGTGCTGTGGCTTTCTACTTAGATGCTCCCCACTTTATGCTGGGGCCACATAAACAGCCATCATGGCACCAGAGTTATAGTTCCATTTTTGCAACACATATTTTAGGCATTAAGTATTCCTTCCTCACATCCCCTAGTAAAGTCTCTGGAAAATTAAGTAATTCATGGGTTACTGCAGTTGGAAGGCTAGAAGAGGGTAAAAAAAAAAATTCCTTGGATTTGAGATAAAAATCTGCTGATGTACTTGTGAAATCTTAACATTCATGACTGTCTACCACCCACTCGCTCACTCCCCCTCGCAGATGAAACACTGCCTGGAAATCCGACCTCCTGGGCCGAGGGAGGTTTGGCGGGCTGGCCCGTAACACACAGTCCCGTATCACGTATACGCAACAGCTGCAAACAGATGTGCAAACAGGCCACAGAGAGGCCTTGTTTGATGGGCGTTTTTAGGACAAGATGGGAATCTGACAAACAGCACCATCTGAAGGGTGTGCTGAGGAGGGACAACGGGACCCAGGGTACAGGTGTGTGGCCAGAAAGGTAAAAGGCAGCAGGGCCAGGGGGGGAACCAGGAAACGTCCCCTGGACAGCTAATTCCGAAGCGGCATTTCCAGAGGAGAGCTTTCCTAATGCGTGCTGTCTATCACCTGGGGGCCAAACGAGCAGAAACCTGGAAAAGATTTCCTAAATCCCTTTATCCACTTTGAAGCAATTCCAAGGGCTAAAAGGAATTTTACAAAGAGCTGAAAGTCCACAGCCATGGGAGGATTAAACACAGGAGGAAAATTTCACATAGGGCTGGGGTGATTCATAAAATATGGATTTAGCATTTTGTAATGAGAAACCTCCACCATTATTAGGGTCGTAACATAAGAAGTTCATCTTTTTTTTTTTTACTAAAAACACACATCCTGGTAGATTATCAAATACAGATTCATGGGCCCTTTAAAGTTTTTTTCACTTTACGCTTTATAAACGTTTGTGTCCTTAAATAATAAAGTCTTAAGGTGGACGACTTATTGATCCCAGGCAGGGGAGAGACACCAGGGCCCGGGGCGCAGCCGCTCACCTCCGCGTCGCCCCGCTGCTCGCCGTTCTCTTCGTCTTGACCCCCGTTTTTCGGCATGTAGGCCATTTTCAACCGCAAGAACCCCTTCACTCGAGATTTATGACTGCGCGACAGAAGAAAATTGGTTGTCAAGGCTATGGCTTGGTTTCATCTTTCATAGGATGACTTTTGGAAAAAGCTAAAACAAGAACAGTTGTCCAATCTTCCCGGGAAAAAGACCCAATAACCAAGGCATAAAGGACAACCCCTCCCAACCCCCAGGTTCTCACCTTCTCGGTCTGAGGAGAAAGTCCTTAAACGTGTAGGGTCGCTCCATGGTTGGGTCTTCTGTCTACAGGGAGAGAAAGAGTCAACACTCCTGATAGGCCGTGTTTTTGGATACACTGAATTGGATTACAGAGAGCACCTTTTCGTTTTAAAAGATGGGACTGAGCCCTGGCTGGCGTAGCTCAGTGGATTGAGCGCGGGCTGCGAACCAAAGTGTCGCAGGTTCGATTTCCAGTCAGGGTACATGCCTGGGTTGTAGGCCATGACCCCCAGCAACTGCACATTGGTGTTTCTCTCTCTCTCTTTCTCCCTCCCTTCCCTCTCTAAAAAAAAAAAAAAAAAAGATGGGACTGGTGAAGGCCGAGTCAGTTCCACAACCCATCCTTGAGAGTTAATCGAACACTGCACAGGTCACCGAGCACCATCCACTCAAGATCCACTAGATGTCACTGTCAACACCCATTTTTAGGAGCCAACCCCAGCCTTAGACAAATGGCAAAATGATAGTGGTCAAGGCCAAGTGTAATTTCTAACTGCAGGGTGGAGCCCTCGGTCTCCCACTGATTAACGTTGGGGAACCAGTAGTCGCTGGTGCCTCCGTGCCGCTGTCATTCAAAAAAACTGAATGTGGAGTTAATAGGGAAACATGCAAGATCTAATCGGTGAAGGCGGTTTTACCTTATTTGTAACATGAAAGTATCATGTCACCAGCCTAACGTCATTGAAAGATTATCTCCTCCACAAGAGATCAATGTCCTATGTGGCCCCATTAATCTGCCTTTTGCCGATGGTTCTTTCATGAAGCTATGAGGGCAACCTCAACATTCATCCGTTTGACAAAGAAACCAAGACTGTGCCAAATCAGGTGGTTAAAGCAAGCAGAAAATTAGAAAAAATAAACGTTATTATTTCAGTAATTTTTAAATACTATATTTAGGAAAAGCTCAAAAACCTAGACTCTTTGCCCTGACTGGTGTGGCTCAGTTGGTTGGGCGTCATCCCATAAAGCCAAGGGTGGCTGGTTCAATTCCCGGTCAGGGCACGCACCTGGGTCGCAGGTTCAGTCCCTGATTGGGGTGTGTGAGAGAGGCAATTGATTGATGGGAGAATTGAGTCTGAGGGCCAAGAGTGAAAGCGAACCATGATTCTAAAATTATTTTCTTTTATCTGGAAGCATTTAGTAGGTATAGGGCACTAAGGAATCAATGAGCAAAGGGGCAAAACTAAAGTTTCTTTTCTTTCTCATTATCACTCTTTACTCTTCCCTGTCAGGGGACAATGGGGACAATGACAGAGCTGACATGGCCTCCTCTGCCCACTGTGGTCAATAACTCAGGCAGTGACTCTAACGTGCAGTGCAGAGCGCACCCCGGCTTCACACCCTCCTCCCAGCCCGCTTCTTCGTCTCCCTGGTAGAGCCCCCGCCCGGGCTCTCACAACGACCCACCAGGGCATGGAATGAATCCAGGGACCCCACACTGGTCAGTGAGCCAAGGAAGGCCCGCGTGCCCAAGGCACCGAGACACCAAAGTAACTTTGCAGTGTGCATCCCTGAAGGGTCTGCCTCTAGAGAGGTTAGGGTCGCTCTGACCCTCTCATCTTCCTGGAAGGCTGCCTGGGGTCAGGGATTTTACAGCTGGAGAATTTAACAGCCAGGTTTTCCACCACAAACACCAATGGCCGCACCAACACGCCTGCGGGGCTCCAGCGAGGGAAGGGGGTTCTGCAGCAAACATCGTCACCAAGTTTAAAACATTCCTTTTTCAAAATCACACACCCAACAACACAAAACAGAGTATTTAAATTATTAAAAATAATCTCCTAACAATCACGAGGGATCAGACCAAGTTCGGTTCTGCTGCCTGGCATCTTTCCCATCAAGCTCCGGATCTAGAAAACATCTTCATTCAGTTGTCGCCAGCTTCTAAGACCAAATCAAGGCAGGTAAATTTTTTTTTAAAGGTTATGGTATTTGGAGACAACAAGAAAAAGCCTCATTCCTGGTTTAAATTGCCTTATAATAAATAAGTGCGTATGTATGTCAACATGAAAGCATAGATAATTAACAATTTTGCTAATGCCAATTTTAAAAATAGCAATTACTATTCTTTATCTTAATTTCTATGATTCGAAGCTTCAGGGCCTTTTCCTATTAACTCAGTTAAATATTCTCAGCACACTAGATATGCAGAACTAGAGAGAAGCAGCCTCAGGCAGGGGAAAAAGCTCAATGAAAAGGCATCAGTGAAACTGGTGGGTTTGGGAAACCCCGCCCCCCGCCACAATGCCCGGCCACTGTGGGCGGATCTGTACACGACCTCCTGTCAGTTTCAGGCCACACACTGAACAGGACTTCAGCGAACACTCAGTTCCCTCCAACAGCCAGAACCACGCCTATTTGACCCAAGCCACTCCCCTCTGATCCACACCCATGCCGTCCAGTGTGGCAGCTGACGGCCATAGGTGGCTTTTAAAATTTAGATTTTAATAAGTTAAAGTGAAATAAAAGGATAAATCCAGTCCCTCCGCCACAGCAGTCACATCTCAAATGCTCAGCTACCACGGGTGGCTGCCGCCCTTGGCAGCGATGCCAAGCTACCCCCGAGGGAGGGACTTGCTTCTCGGACCCTCCCTCGGATCAGAACCAGGCCTACCAGCAAATACCTTCAGAAGGAATAGACAGATTCTCTATCAGCTGATGAGGCTGCACGAAATGAACTAATGATCAAATGCCTGTGATTAAACATCAATATTTAAGATTCCTTAAACCTTGAGAAAGGCCAGGGCGGTGCCCCTCTGACCTATGTTACCACTCTCCATTATCTTCTCTCGTTACTACTGAGATAGCTCACCTAGTTTCTTTTGTCTAAAATTGGAAGACTTTGACAAATACTAAATCCATAGGCCATATGTCATCTGCCTTGACAAGGGTCATGCAGCTATCAAGAAAAGAAAGACCACCCATCGTGCACTCCACAAAATATACTCAAATGCTAACTACTCATTTTACATACCCATGCTTACGTTACCACGAAAAACATAATCAACATAATGACAGCGTGCAATTTTCCCATGAGTGTCCCACAATGGGAGCGCAGGCGCGCACACACACACACACACACACACACACACACACACACAAGTGCAGCTCCAAGGCCATGTCCATTCAGACTATGCTGGTGGGGTTCCACCCCCACTTGCAGGATAAGAATGCACCTTTGCCCCTCTCCTTTTGCTTCCGTTGGGGTCCATCTCCCAGCCTGCAGTTGGCTCCATCAAGCCTGTCCATTTTAAGTGTGGAGACCATGGCCCTCCAAAGGAAGCTCATCTCTCTGCAGATGCAAATGTGGGAGGCTCCACTCCTCAGCTGGCTCCGCCCCTCAGCTGGCTCCGCCCCTCAGCTGGCTCCGCCCATGTAAAAGTCCCCCGTAGCATTTGCCCTTCTGCTCTCTTTAGCTGGCTGCTTTCTGTTCTAGCCCCGGGCCTCGGCACCTTCTTTGAGGGCTCGCTCCTGCCTCCACCAAACCCAAAGCCCGGCCATTCCCTCTCCTGACTTGGTCTCTCAAGGGGAATAGTCTTCTCCTCTCCAGGCGTCCCACCCACCCTTTCGAAACCCTTCTGCTCTCAACCACTCAAACGAGGCGCTGTCAGGGCAAGGTGTTTACAGATTTCACTTCCACTTCTTAGAGAGTATTAGTACATAGTTTGCCTTGACTGAGAGGGGGTTTTTGCAGTAAGAAAAAGGGTGGCTGGGGACACCTATGAAAAAGAACTGGCCAACCAACCCCTACTGTCTGAAAATCTGAGGACATTCCCGCTTCAACCTGACGGGCACGGACAGAAGACCCACTGATGGGGAAACACGGGGAGAGTTTTTCCTCGCAGACGCTGACATCTCCAGGTCCTCTCAGTGTGACTTGAAAGGAACGCTCAGGTTTTGCCGGCTTATACAGTCGTCTCTCGCACACACAGGCACCCTCTTCACGCACCCTGGAGCTTCAGGGTTTTATATAGAAACTAATATACTTTAATGGTGTCACTGTTGCTTCTAATCTTTCGGAAGGGAATGCACTTGAAACCTTTCTCCCTTAACAGCTCTCCTGAGTACATAAGAAAAAATCGCTTGCGCTCACATTCCTTCCCAACATATCTGCAAAGCCTCCTCCTGGGTAAGCTACAGAGTGTCTTTCTTGGTATTTTGTATATGGCAATAGCCACCAATTCAATGCAGCGATAGGCTTACACTGGGTAGTTTAAGTCACCTTCTTTTATAGACTATTTAAGGGGTTTGCTCACACAAAGCATTAACAACAACAAAAGGCAGGAACATTTGACTTATCCTTTCTTGGCTGCTATTTCAATCACTTTGTGTTGCCCAGGGAACCAAGGGCTGCGGGAGGGGTAGAGCGAGGCGGAGAACCGAAGCCGGACTACGAGGTGACCAGCCCCTCACCCAGCCTCCAGGTCCCGCCCCCACGGTCTGTCTACATCGCCTCGGGAGCACTGCAGGCCTCCGCTGTTCATCAGCAGCTCCAAAGGCTGCGCTGCTCACCTGAGCAGGGAGAAATGGCGGTGACACCGCACGTGCTAACTACGATTTCTAAAGCTGACAGGTTCCCTCAGAACCAGCAGGGTCTCCATCAGCGCTGACTGAGAAAGCCACGTGGCAGTGTGTACAGATGTGGCCCACGAGAAACAGCACGTGCAATTCTAGACAAAGGGAACCCATGTTTGCTTAGACCCAAAGGATGAGCTTGAAAGCCAAGACGGCCCAGGGACAAGGAGGGGGTTGGCGGAGGGAGGTGGCTGCTTTGCAGGATTTGACAAAGGCAAGCTGAAGAGCAGAAGAGCAAGATGCTGGCGACACCGACCGGCAGCCTCCCAGATGCAGACAGTTGATTCTTTCTTATCCCCTTGAATGGAGCACTTTCTGGAGAAGAGCTAGGGCCAGAGAACTCGCTGTGTATTTTGGCCCTCTCCACTGTGCTGAGGAAACATGACTCCGAACACACATCCAGCTGCAAGCCATCAGAAGTCACTCCTCACAAGAGGCAACAGAAAGCAGGTGACTGTCCTTACCGGGAGATGATTAAGGGGCACGTCCACCTGTCCCAGGAAGTCGTCTCGTGTCTGTTGAGAAGAAAGCAAAGAGTTAATGTTCCCATCGATTTCACGAAGCGTTGGCATTCTTCAAAACGTTTCTTTACAAACAGAGACAAAGGTCCAGGGCCTGACACCGGAAAGCTGTGGAGACAGGTCAAGGCAGACAGCCCAGATGAGGCGCACACGGCTGCTGCCTTGGAGACAGGGGAACCCCAGGCCTCATACCCCTGACCTTCGGCTGCCCAAGACTTTGTTGGGCACCCACTGCCCAAGAGAATGGTAACAGGTCATCAGTTGGACCTGGAGAGCACCTGATTGTCAAGGAGGGGGTGACAGAGGGTTTGGGGACACAGCCAAACCAATCTAAAGAGAAGAAAGTAAAGGCAGGTGGGGAACATTTTACTGATAGCAAACACAGGGTGGGGCGGTCTACAGTCATTGCACATATGGAAATAACACCATAATTAGTGAATAACAATACAAGAATACACCCGGGGTTTTGCGTGCTCAGAACTGTAAGCCTACTTTTGCCCAGCCCTATATTTATTGCTCAAATGCTATGAATTAAAGAGCTCCCTGAGAGCTGAGAGTCTAGGGAAATGGTATAGAGTCTGATTATCAATAAATCTTATAAAGGATGGCCTCAAACTTCCAGTGCAATAAGTACACCGCTGCAGAACCTAAGTCCATGGCTTAGTTACTGGCTCAACTTTGGACACACCATGCTTCCTCCTCTCCCACCATCTACTACACGGCATAAATCTTTCTGACTCAGACTGACCTCGCTGAAATTCACTTGGAGAAGCTCTCACGAGTGCCCCCTGCAGACTCCAGGAGTCACCTGGGAAGACACAGCTCAGATTCTGGGGTCCCAGCAGGGACCCCAGGGTGCCTGGCAGGCCGTGCACACACCGTGTCCTGCTAGTGGAGTGCCCATGCCACGGCCCCTGAGCTTCACGTGGCCTGAGGTACAAATCGGAACCCAGGACTTCTGAGGCCCTCGGAGAAGAACAGGCAGGGGCACCCGCCACAGTCAGAAATGCCCAGAATCTGGCAAGTTCTTCAGCCGTGATCAGACTGGTCCTCCAGTCCGGTGGGGGAGAAGCCCGAGGGAGATCCAGACCTCCTGACTGCGAGTGCGGGCTCATGCTGCCCCTCTTCGCTGGTTCAGTGGGAGACTTTCTCACTGACAGAAGCCACTCAAATGTGCTTGGAGGATGTCTCTTCTTGCATTAAAAAGCAGCAGCAGCAGGTAAATATGAATGAGATTTAGTGACGTGATTTGCTCCAGGATTAGGATCTCCTTTTAGGTAATTTAAAAAACGTAATTAACTAGAAAGCTCTCCGTCTCCTCTACACTATGTGTGAAAAATAGTGAAAAACCAAAGTTCCTCCCAGCCGGGTGTGCAGGAAGCATGAGATGAGCCCAGGCCTTGTGACGAGGGTCTCACTTCTTCTCTCAGCTACAGCTGCCACGACCCACCACGGAGACACCTCATCTGGCCGCAGGCTACCAGGCGCCAATAAATGCTGTATGTCGTAACAAAAGGAGCCGTGAGCAGAAGGCTCAGAAAACGGAGCCGCCCTCTCTGCCCAGGAGTTAGGGAGCCCTCTCATTCCCAGTTTGGCTGATTCAGTTATAATCACAAAGCGAGAGTAAATATCAGTTAACTCTACAACAAAAAAAAATTAAAAATAAAAACCAGAAGTCTGTTGACTACTGACCAGAAGTTCCGTGTCTACCTCCTTGCCACCTGTCTCCTCCTGCCCCACCTGCTACAGGTGCCGACGCTGTGGATGTGGAAGGAAAGGACACCGCGTGCAGCCGTCAGGAGATCACCGACCACCCTTCCGGAAGCCCCGTCCATCACCTGATAGCATTAACAGGCTACTCGCTCTCCGTTAACCTCAGGGCACTGTAGCAAAGATTCACATAATGTCTACACGCCCACATGGTTTTTCTGGGGACATGTCAGAGTTCTAAACTGGTCACTTGAATTCAGCTTTGCTCTGACACCAGAAGACAGGCACCTGCCACCACGGGCTGCAGCGGCGAAGCAAGTGCAAGGCCACACCTGGTCTCCACAGCAACCGGAGCACGTGGGCATTATTACTAGGACTGCCGTCCAGGTGGGGAGCCCAGTGCCTGTGGGGTGGAGGGGCGGGGGGGGAATGTGACCTGCTCCAGTTCCTCTCTGGATTCCAGAGTCCGGGCTCCTCACGAAGTGACCTGCTGCCCTTGTCTCAGTTTCGGGCAGGACGCCGAGGCTGTGCACCAGCTCTGGGCTCCTGATTGGATGGTGGCTCTACACGGTCATGGATGAGACTTAAGCAGGGGGACGTCCTGGGAAATTGCCATGTGCCGGGTCCTCGTTAGCACTGCCTCCTGTCCTGACTCCGCTCCTTTCCGCCGGTGGAAGAGGTGGCGACACCCCTGAGGTACTGACCAGGGCAGCTTCCCTGGTGCCTGGTTCCTGCACAAGCCCTCTCGTTACACTGAAATACGCGTCTCTAGAGCAGCCAAAGATGGAGCAACCTCACCGTTAGCATAAACACAAGCCTCTTATTCCTGCTTTACATCAAGGACACTGAAACAAAATGGATTTTTAAGTAAAATAGGGATCTAGTCTAGAATAGAACATGGTACAAAGGAACGGGCTGAAACAGTGTTTCATCAGGCAGGGGAACACGGGGGTGAGACCTAGCTTTCCAAACACCCCGCTGCTGCCCGAGCTGAAGACACCGTAGGTAATGAAAAATATTTAGGTTAATGACGCTGCACCAGCCCTAAAACATGTCTTCAGTGCCACAGGAGAGTCTAGGAGGGGGTTGGGGAGGCTACTCGAGACCTTTATGCCAAGCTGAGAAGCAGCCGTGTCTCAGGGACACCTGGGTCTGATGGTGACGAGCCAGGGACAGTGTGCTGGCGTGCTAGGGTCCCCGCCACCTGCGGGCCCTGGAGAGACGTCTGAAGCCATGACACTATTCTCAGGTCATCATGCCCCAGAATGACATCTCACACCAATGTAACAAAACTACTTTAATCAAGTCAGTTTTTAATAATTTCCACTGCAGAATTATTTCCACCACGCTTCATGCTAACTGTAAGAGATTGCAAAATCCCACCTGGTTTCAACACGTGCCATGAATACTGGCATTTCTTGTGCTTATTTTTGAGCGGGAAATGCTCTCAGTGTCCACCTCAATTACCTGTCATGCTATTCTAGAGGCTGAAAATATATAGTTTAGTACCAATTATAAATGTTCCCTTTTGACAAGCTGTCAAATATTTTTCCAATGTCATGACAATGCCAAAGAGAGCCCCTGGAATGTGTCATAGAAGGTAAAAAAAATTATATTCTATTACAGGAAAGGTGAAATTAATATACCAAACACTGTCTCCTTCAGAGCTTGCTCCCTAAATGATGATTAACTACATTCCAGAGCACCCCTCCTGGCTTTTAAAATACCTCTTTCCCTGCAAACAAGAAGGCCGCGGGGGAATGCTGCTCCGTGGGTGAGTGCACTGGACCCCAACGCTGGGGACTGTTCTGATAGTGCCAACGAACCCTAGCATGGCCCCAGGACACTTCCCAAGGCTTCCTGTGTGCACGCTGGGCCGAGCTGCCAGCACGGAGTGGACACCGCGCTTAGCTGTCCTCGCAAAGTGAAAGAGACTCAATTTCACCAAGAACACCTTAAGACACAACAAAGACTTTTGGTTTTCAGGTCAGAATGCCCTTGAAGGCTGTGCTCAGAATCTCACTCCACACTGATGACCACAGAGGTCATGGGAAAACAGGGCGAGGATGGCCAGTCCCATGGAAGCTGAAAGACAGCACAGGGACCACATGGGGGGAAGCACTGGAGGCAGGGAGGGGTGTTGGGGGGAGAGCAGGGGCCAGAAAGGCTCATTAGAAAAGATTATCAGACAGAAGTGGCACTTTTTGCCAGGTACAGAGACCCATGCGTAATCCTGGAGCTTTATATTAAGATAGTGTTTAAACTATGAGTGGCAACCCCACTAACAGTTCACAAGAAGCCTTTTAGAAAAATGTTTCTCATCCAAGGACATTTTTCCAATGCTTTTAAAGACAAGGAAGGTGGGGTGCGGGGAGAGAGAGACATCAACTGGCTGCCTTCTCATCCGCACCCCAACCAGGGATGGAACCTGTAACCTGGGTACGCGCCCTGATTATCAATCGAACCCGTGACCTTTCCGTCTATGGGATGATGGTCCACACCAGCCAGGGCACAAGAAGCATTTAGAAAGGGCAATATAAGAGAATAGAAAACATTAGTGTCTCACATGAGATGTTGACAAGTACTGTTTTGAGAAAATTATTTCAGTTATTTCAATATGTATACTAAATTATTTTTCGTGGGTGACACCATGGAAAGATTAAAAGCAGCTCAAGCACAACAAAGGGAAACCAGCCAGTGCTACCAATTGCCTGGGGTTTCATCCTAGAAATCATTATGGAGTGCCTTCCAAGAAAGTTATATTTAGAATTGTATTTCTCAGGCCTGGAGGAATCAGGACATAAGCTACAGAAAAAGAACTTCCGAGTAAAACTATAGTGTGATCTGGTGTTTGTAGCTTACAAATCGAGGGAAACGCCACAACCTCCAACGCGAAGCCGTCACGGGGCTCGTCACCGAGCCACTAAACACGGGCCCGTGTGCTGCGCTTCCTTCCGAAGAGGGTGGCCCCACACGCGGCCACCAGGACTGACCAGCCCAGGGAAACGGGCTCTGTTCTGGGGGGACTGGAAGCATGCTCTTGGGATTATCTAGATAACGGGCCGCCCATCCATAGACCAACTGTGCTTCATGGTGTCAGACCCTAAAGGTGCCGAGACCGGACGCCCGTATCGCCTCAGGAGAGAAGCTGACGGGTCCCGTGCGGCAGGAATGAAATGCGAGCCACATACAGAATTTGAAAACTACCAAGTCACGTTTAAAAAAGCAAAAATAAAACAGGTGAAATGAATTCTAACGACATATTCTTATTCCAGTTGACCCCA